TCCAGTGCCTGTATTTCTGCTGCATCCTTCTACTCACAAATATTCATATCAAAGCTAAAATCTCATTCCATCATCCATATTTTTACTGTGCCATATGGGTCAGCTCTCAGGCCCGGGATCGAAATCGTGCTACACACAGCTTCATAGTGCAGAAACTTAACCCCTTGTGCCACCAGAGAGGCCCCCATTACCAGTATTTTTTTTTAGAGATTTATTTATTTATTTATACAAGCACTGGATACAGTCAGCAGCACGGGAGGGTGAGAGAATTCACCAGAGCCAGGGTGGGGAGCAGAACAGGCAGACCGAAGAAATACACTGCTGAGGGGAGCAGCGGGCGGCAGTAGAGGTCTGTGCACCATGTGGGACCCTCACCAGGGACCGGGGGCCAGGGATCGAACCGGCGCTGCAGAGGCTGCAGTCAGCTTCACAGCCCAGTGCTCAACCGCTGTGCTGCTGGGGAGGCCCCCCCATCACCCATATTTTTAAACTAGCACAAAGATGCTGAACAGAAAGCAGTATTAGAGACTGCCTTGCAACCCTTACGTTTAACAATTGTTTCTTCTGGGCTCAGAGGACCGAAAAGAGTGCCTCTGGACTCTGTAGCTTTTGATTGACTTTAATAACTAATTCATTCACCAGCACCTTCTGTTCATTAACACAGTCTAGCGTACCCAGTGCAGCCAACTCTGCTAAAAATCACTACTAAGGGAGTGGCAGATATTTCAAGGAAGGGTGGGTTAGTCTGGGGAAGGGTGGAATTCAGACAATGAATGCATGTCCTCCTTACAAAAAGAGTATTAGTGTTGGTGTAAGTATAAAAGCCATTCACCCTTCTCTAAACTTTAACTTAATCATGTTCATTATCTCTTTAAATTTTTTTATTATGGAAAATACCAAACATATACAAAAATAAAATTTTTGTATAGTGCACACCCGTGACTCACCCAACTTTAACAATTACCAATTTATAGCTTGTCTTCTTTCTAGCCCCACCTATTCTTAATATCCACCCTCCACCCTCACTCAACTAGATTGGTTTAAAGCAAAACTCAAACATTTTACTCCATTGTAAATATTTCAGACTATATCTCTCAAAAGTGATTTTTTTAAATTAAAAAACCCTGCAAAATCATTATCACGTCCGAAAAAATTAATTATGATTCATCCAATATCCAAAATCCAAGTAAGTCCTCACTTAACATTGTGGATAGGTTCTTGGAACTACAATTGAAACAGGTTTAAGCAAATAACATGTAATGAAAACAGGTCCTCTAATAATGTCCTTTTTGCTTGAATCTGATTTTTTTTTTTTTTTGGTCAACATTATAACTAAATGATATTGAGTGAAACTATGTTATTCGAGAAACTGCAGTAGCTTCATAAAACATTTTATTTTGCTTTTCAGTTGATTGGTTTACATCAGGATCCAAAGACCACACATTGCATCTGGAAATAGGTTTCTTAGCACTTTTTAAATCTAAAGGTTCCCCTCACTTCTTTATTTCTCGAAATGTATTTATTAAAGAAACTGGGTAATTGTCCTTCAGAGTGTCCCTTATTCTGAAGTTTGCTGATCATGTTCCCGTGGTATCATTTCACATGTTCTTCAGTCCCCTGTATTTCCTGTGAGATGATAGTTAAAGATGGAGCCTTGCTGGGGTTCACATTATCAACTCATACTCTGTTTTACCCATCAGTATTGCTTTTCAGTGGGAGGAGCCACAGTAACACAATGTTATCATCTTTCATATTGTTACAGGGCAACCCCAATATAAAAAGGGTTGCCTGACTGTGGGTCCTCACCTGCACGTTTAAAGGGGACTTATTAATGCTAAACTGCAGACACACACAAAGGGTTGATAAAAGGTTTATTTACAAGGGAAGGGGAAATGAATAACTCAGGGAAAAAAAGAGGGAGATAAGTTCGTAAATGCATCCTACCCTTACAGCTGACCTGGAATCCCAATGACCCGCCGAACTGGCAAAAAGCCAAGCATGCTGTGTGGCCAAGAGAGCGGCCCCTGGCCACATGACCAGTTAAATACTCAGAGAGCCTAGTTGCTTAACTCCGCCCTCAGGTCCTCACAACCTTCCCTTTGGGGATCATGGGATTTGTAGTTCCCAGTGTCTTGATGGAGTGGGGATGGAGTCCACAAAGCCTATATGGATTTTGCTCAGGACATCCTTTCCCCATAACAATATGGCTCACCAAAGGAATTCTCAACCCTCCAGATGCTCTTTCTAAAACAATTTGGCTATGCAGGCCTTATTGGTATGAATCCCCCATCCTGCATTTCCTGGAGAAAGTCAGGAAGGTGGGAACTAACAGGAGCTGGACAGCAGATAAGCCCCGCAGCTACAGCAGTGACCAAGACATGTGTGGTCCTTCCCCACGTACTGGGGAGAGCAGCCAGAGCCAGCAGATGAGGTCATTACAAACTGTGGCTCATGCCTAGAAGGAAACCAATGGGAGGTGGAATTATAAATGGGTGGACAGAGAGTGAGGGAAGGGAGGAAGGGTAAGTAGGAGGAGCCTAGGCTGGATGGTTGGAGAAGGAGCTCTTGACCATGCTAATTCAACTGAGACCTGGAGGAGGAGAAAGAACAGTTATGTGAATGCATGAGGCAAGGAAGAGGGATGCTGGTGGTAGTGGGGATGGAGGAAATGCCATAGATGTTGGCGACAGAGCACATGGGACATGGGGTCAAAGAGAGAAAGGAGGCAAGGCAAACTACCAAGTTTTAGCAACAGGGTGAAGGCTGGTTATGGAGACAGCCCTGGGGAGCTGGCTGGGCAGCTGTGTGGGTCCTTCTAGAGTCCCCAGTCTAGTCCCTTTGGTCTTTTCTCCTATCTTCCCATGTGCCATCTAGTCCCTTCCCCTTGTGCTTCCTGCCTTTCTATTAAATTACTCGATGGCACTTTAAAATGATGGAGAAAGAATAAGACCAGTAGAAGCATCACTTAAATTAAAACTGGCACCCAAATGCAAGAAAATATTGTTCATCAAATTTTCCATTCACTGGTCTGTATCTGAAAAAAGAAGGCTTACAGGGGAGCTATTTAAAGCTAAGATGTTTCATATGAAACTTCTGTATATTCTGTTTATGACATTTATCTTTAATGTCATCATTCTTCATGATCACAGACAGTTGAGATGAATGTGTAGTAAAACTAAGAAAATAATTTCCAGTACTGATCATAATGAAGTTTACCCAGTCTTTATCCAAAGCATATGCAGTGGTTCGTGATACTTGTCTAAAACCTCAATTCCTAAAGCATTCCTTGTAAAAAATAGAACATTCCTTTGCCCAGATTTTAAATAATAAAGGAGACTGGGAGTGTTTTCAAAACTCATTGGACTGATTTAAATTTCACTGGAAAACAGCTTTTTAAAACGAAGTTGTCTGTATGTGGCCTCCGTGTGGATCACATCCCACAGCAGCTGGTAACTGCCAACTTCTGGTGGCTTGAGAAAGTGAGCTGTTTCCCACGCTCCCACACATAAACCCGAAGTTGGGCTGTTTGTGCTGGGAGATGTTTGAGGGTGAAACACCAGCTGAGCCAAGCTCTTTCCCTGCCTCGCTTCTCTGCGACCTCTTAGTGTATTCCAAAAGATCATTGCTGGTGCCAGGTGATAACTGAAAATATGTCACCTGAACAGTTAACAGCCCATGAGGTCTGGTAACGCTTTTATGGGAGGGTTTTGCTAGGACCTCATTTAACTCCCCAAACTCCTTCCTTTCTCTTCCCAAGCCCCATAGACTACACCACATCAGACCTTTTCACCAGGTTCTTGGCATGCCATGGGGCATCAGGCTTAAGTGCCTCTCCTTTTTCCCACCCCTGCATCCTGCCCCCCTCTACTAATGAGGTCTGAAATGACTGAAGGAGGAGGAGGTAGGAAATAAATGACCTAGAAAACCCAGGGCCCTTCTAATCAACTCCTGAACAATTGACAGTCTCTTTATTGCTTCTGGTGCTTTTTAAATCTGCAGCCTCTTAAAATACAAACTTTTGTAAAATGTCTCCCATTTGATTAGGGAATTTCTTTTTAATTCATGGATTCCTGAAGTAAAAAGAGCTCTACAGTGGTGTTCTATGTCGTCAGTGGATTTTGCACTAACAGGAAAGTGAGAGGGAGCCCCGGCCCCATCTTAGCATGGCTTTGTGGGAGGCCCAGAGCCCCACCTCGTGGATCTTGTCCCTTCTCCTTTCCCCAAGGGTTTTGGCTGGACGAGAATAGTAATATGTTTTTATAGGCAGTTATGACTGATTTCACAAAGGTTGTGCACACACAACCTTGGAGTTGTGTTTCTTGGGTTCAGATCTTAGGGCTACCACTTACTGGTTATCTTCCCCATCAGAAAAGTGTGGCTAATGAGTAGGACCTAGTTTTCTGGGGTTCTTTTGAGTATTAGCTGTTAATAAGATGCCTGTAACATGGCCAGCATCCAGTAAATGTTGGCTGTATTCTAACATAGCAAATTATTCAAAGTAACTAATAATACCATAGTGTCTAGCTCAAATTTACTTCTCAACACTTACTGGATCATCATCTATTTATGTCAGTCCTTCCCTATAGCCTGCTGGATTGTGACTTCCTTGAAGGCAGAGACTGTACTACCCATTTAGGGGCGGGGGGTGCACAGTTCTTAGTACAGCTCTGGTATAAAGAGTTCTTTGAGTCAATAAACAGAGACTTTCATAATGACTTGTGATTGAATGGTGATTTGCAAGGTACAAAGCACACATATATGAGAAGTCTCAGACTGAAGTTTAAGACCTTTGTCCAAGATCTGGTAAGTGGTAGATGCCAGAGTCAGGACCTGTGTTTCTTGCCTTCCACTGGACCTTCCTTTGTAGGAAAGAATACTGAGTCTTAAAGTTCAGGATTATGATGTACTGTAGGTACTGGGATGGTTGTTCTGTGAGTGGGACTCCATCCTCCCCAAAGAAGTTGCTTTATACTCATGTAACTACACTTGGTTTTGCACAGGTCACCACAAATGGCATCATTGCCATGAGTGAACCCCCAGCTGAAGAAGCCCATCCTGGACTCTTCCCACCAACCTTTGGAATGGTGGCTCCTTTCCTGGCTGACTTGGACACAACAGATGGCATCGGGAAGGTTTATTATCGAGAAGACTCATCCCCCTCCGTCACTCAATTAGCAGCCAAATATGTGCAGAAAGGGTTCCCAGAAGTCTCTTTCCATCCCACAAGTGTGGTGGTTGTCACTTGGGAATCTGTGTCTCCCTACCAAGGCCCCAGCAAGGACCCTGCCCTGGAAGGCAAGGTAAGCGCTCACCAGGGACAGGTGCACATGGCCTGACAGGTTGGTTGGCTGTGCACTCTCTTGTCGGTTATGCTCTACCCTGACGTCCATTGTGCCTACGTTACTAATAAAGACAGGACAGCCAAAGCAACATCTAGTAGGCTGGTTAGTGTAGGTTTGAAACTTCTAAGACCACTTAAATCTGTTTCAATAATGATTCGATGCAAAGAAAGCCTTTTCCTGAATGGCTACCTGGCAAACAGTATTGCACCCCCTCACTGCTCTTACTTTGGGTTGGTATCATGGGGGTTAGTTTCTAGCTAAAGAGGCAAGTTCCTAACGTGAAGAGACAGGTGAAAATAACCATGTAGTCATGAGGGATGTGAAGAAATGAAGACAAGGCCCACATTCTCATTGGGAAGATGAGCCATTTGCACCATGTGAGGGACTGAGGACCCAAAAATAATCAAAACCCAGATGTGGATGTCCCTGTGGCCTCAGTGGTCAGGAGAGACTGTAAGGCTGTGGAGAGCTTGGACTTCCTCTTGAAGGAAGGGGAATATTTGAGAAGATCAAGAAACCAGTTCTAAATCTGAGGTGACTCTTTTAGACATGGTTCAATTTCTCCTTGGAAAAATAATTTCACTCCACCATTATTTAATTTAGATAGAGTTAGGGGGAAGAGAGAAACTTTGAAAGGTTCAAAAGCACTTGGTTGGAATGCAGAATGTTCTAAACTGGTCATTCTCAAAGTGTGCACCACAGAACACTAGTCCTACAGGAGAGTCCTGGAGGAAAGATAGGCCATCCCTGGTCAAATTAGTTTGGGAAATGCTAAAGCCATATTTCCCTTTTGGTGACTCACTCTGGAAAGTCCTATGTTAAAGAAATCTTCTTAATTTTGTTTAACTGACGTCTCTAAACCTCTTAGCCATATCCTTCTTATGCATTATAGCCCACAGAACACACTTTGGAAATGTGTGCTGTGGGCCCACATGGCACATTTCGCTTTGCCACCTGTCTGGGTGCTGTACTTGAAAACTGCTTGAAACCTTCCATTTTTCAAGCACGTGTCGTTTTCACTGAAGTGATAATTGCCCAACCCTTGCATAGGACCCTGGTCTGGCTCTTGAGCCTGATCTCCCTGCCCCCTTTCTTCTCTGCACAGCCCTTCCAGCAGCTGTATCAAGTTATTTGCAATTCCCTGAGCATGCATTATTTTCTTCCTCGCAGTATCGTGCGCTTGCTGACCTCTGCTTGCGATGTCCTCTCTCTAACCCTCTCTACTTGTTCACTGGGATTCGGGTACCCTCCTCCAACCCTCCTTCCCCTTGTCCGGCCACCCTCCTATTGCTCCACAACTCTGTTATATAGAATCCATCCCCAGTTTTGCCATGTTTTGTTCATATATCAGTTTAACATTCTAGACCATAAATTATCAATGCAGGTACCATGTATTTTTAGTCTTCCTATCTACAGTACTCAGCCAGGCATGCAGGAAAGGTGCTGACATTTAAGAATTACCTGCTCTGTGCCCAGCCCTTCATGTCATCTCATGTAGTTTTCTGAACATTTCTTTGAAGTAGGTGCTAGTTTTATCTCCCGGTACAGATACAGAGACATAAGGAGCTTAAACAACATACCCAGTTTCGCACAACCAGTGAGGAGTAAGGCAGGCATCTGAATCCAGAGCTGTTTTCTCCCAAAACTCATGTTTTTTTTCTACTGTATGGTGCTTGGACTCAATGAATATTGGGTTGTCAGAAAAGTCATTTTTCATGTTTTCTATGCAAAAGTGCATCATGACTTTTCCAATAACCCAGTATATGCTCAAAGATGAATGTGGTTGAATATGTTTAATGGCCATGGAAACAAATTCTCAGGGTGAGGGTTTGCTAAATTGCTTGAGGTTTAGACTCCTGTCTGGAGGTACCATCTTTAATTTTTGGTTAGTCTTAGGGTCACGGTTATGCAGAAGGTATTCATTCATTAATAGGAGAATTTCATGTTAAGGTAGCCTCAGAGATTTTTAAGTGGAACTATCCTGGAAGAGTTGTCCTTGCTGTAAATGTACTTCTTTTAGAATCAGGTGAGAATATTGCGATCTCAGTACTTTTATTGTAATCTAGTGAAGAACACATTTTAAGATCCATAAATGTTTTCCTGAGTAACTGAATCTTCACTCACATTTACAGAGAAACACATTCCAGGCGGTTCTGGCCTCCTTTGATTCCAGGTCCTACGCCATTTTCCTCTATCCCGAAGATGGTCTGCAGTTCTCTACAACCTTCTCAAAGAAAGACAAGGAGCAAGTGCCTGCTATGGTTGCCTTCAGCCAGGGTTTAGTGGGACTCCTTTGGAAGAGCAACGGAGCTTTTTATATATTTGCTGATGACAGAGAATCAGTCGGAAATTTGGCCAAGTATGCTGTCTTTGTTCTTCAGTAGATTCTCCCTCAATAAGATTATCATTTTATTATTTTATTAAGGATAATGTAACAGGCATTATAGAACATTACCTAAAAATGCTCCCATGGATTTAATTGTGTATATAGTTTTTTTATTATGCAATGCTTTTTCTCTGAAGAACTCAAGGGAATATGCTCATAGAATGAACAGGTATTTTGTATTTTCTATATCACTCTCATCTGAAACAGCTTCTGCCATCTCCTCTTTAAGTATATAATTAGAAATAAAGGTTATTCAAACATATCTTTTGGAATGAACCCAAGGCTAAGAAAATCCTTGCCTTTCCTTCCCCACATGGACCTGGAGGGAAATTCTTACCAAAAAAACCATGCTCTCTTGGGCTATTTTGTAGAATTTTGCAAGAAGGGGGCAGGAGGGAACCAAGGCTGGTTTTTCTAAAATTAAATTCTTTTCTCTCCCATTACTCTTTAAAAAAATCGAAACAGAACTTCCCTCTCCCAATTTCATATTGTCAAATCGAGCATCAAAGATCTGTACCCTTTATTTCATCATACGCTGGTGAAAGTTTATGCGGATGGGCAAACCCTCTCTCATAGCCTATGCCTAATTACTGTGGTGTGAATAATCCTACCATGGCCAGTTCATGTCCTTTCACTCACAGGGAGAAGAAAAGATAAACCAGCGTACAGTATTCTCACGATACACATGCAGTAGACTTCAATAACTTTAACATAGGTACTGGTAAAATAATTTGGAAATGATAGGTTTTGAGCATTAATATAATTTATTAATTGTATATTTATATATTGTGTATTAACTGTATATTAATATAATTTATTAATTGTATATAGATAATGGTAAAGTAATTTGGATATAAGTTTTGAGAATTAATATAATTTATAATTGCATATTTATCCAATTTAATTTTTTGTGACTCACAATATTCCTAAAATCTGACAACCAGTAAACTCCTGTGTACTACCGCCTTTCCTTGAACCCTGGACACACGGATTGAAAAACATTCTGTTCCTACAGGACTTTCTTGATTCCTCATTTGCAATCCCACCCCTATTCCATCCCACCCAGTGTTCTCCACTGAGTCATCTATATCCCTTCTTTCATTGTGTAATCTGGTTTTATAAGTTTATAATTTTACATAATTTTGACAAACACTTCCGGTCAATGATAAGTAAGAATAGTAAAAATGGTGGAGCAAGAAGTAGAGATGAGGATTATTCTATTATATTTCATGACTATAAAATGCCTTTAGAATCTGAATCTCATTTGTTTTCCACTATATCCTTTGAGCACAAAAAGGTAAGCTGAGACCTGTCTAAGATTCTATAGCTAATGGAGAGATGGAATTTCTAATAAGCCACATCTGTGCTGTTTTCACTCACATTTCTGACACCAAATATGTGAGGTTTTAATGCGATGTCCTACAATTCAGTTCTTTTCTGACACTGAGTACTCAGATTAACTCAGTCTCCAGCTTCCTCTCCTCTCCTAGGAGGTAGGGGTTGAGCCTAAAAATTCCAACTAATCAAGCATGCCTTGATCTTTCTAGTGACCAGCCCCTATCCTGAGGCTCCTTCGGGCCTCCAGCCAATAGTCAACTCATTAGCATCAAAAAGACACTGTTATCACTCCAGAGATTATAAGGATTTTAGGATCTATGTGCCAGGAACAGAAGATAGAGATGAAATACAGTTCACCCTTCAATGATGGGTCATGGGTTCAACCAACAACTAACATCAGTTGGTTAACTCCACAGATGTAGAACTGAGGATATGGAGGGGTCAAGCATCCTTGGATTTTGGTATCCACAGGGGATCTGAAAACAGTTCCCTAAGGATGGTTTCAAATGATGACTCTAGTTAAGCTCTGAGGGAGTTAAACGTTCACCTAATGTTTCTTCCTATAACTTATCATGCATGCAAAAAGAGAAATGATGGAGAGAGAGAATAACAGAGAAAAATGAAGGACTCCATTCAACTATTTGCTCAAATAGTAGGGTGTATCATCAGTGATGAGTATAAATCAAATTTCAAGGCCTATGTCCCTGGAGTTCACCTCTCAAATGACTGAGGGCAAGCCTTGGCCCTGGGCAGTCTCTGCTCTGTGATGCCCAGACCTGACCATATCTGCTCTCCCACTCTCCAGCCCCAGCTGTGGGCAGAAGCAGATGATGGATTTCAGTTCCACACAGATCCTCAGGGCTCCTTTTGCTTGGTTAGTGGGGCTGTTTGTGGATTTGTTATAGGGCAGCCCTGATACAAAACGGGGTGCCTGACTGTGGGTCCTCACCCGCGCGCTTAAAAGGACTTATTAATGCTCTACTGCAGGCACACGCGAAAGGTTAATAAAAGGTTTATTTACAAGGAAGGGCAAATGAGGAAATGTACAGCTCAGGGAGAAAAATGGGAGACAAAGTTTTAAATGTGTCCTACCCGAGCTGCAGATCTGGAATCCCAAATGGCACTCTGAGAGCTGGCCGCGAGCCAGGAGCCGTGAAGCCAGGAGGCGAGCGACAGAGCGAGAGAGCCCAAGGCCCACATGTTTGGTTTTTATACCAGACCTGGCTGCTTAACTCCACCCTCAGGTCCCAGCCACCTTCCCTTTGGTGGTGACGGGATTTGTCTTTCCCAATGTCCTGATGGCTTTGGTCTGGAGTGGGGGTGGGGTCCACAAAGCCTATGGGGTTAGCACAGGACATCCTTTCCCCCTAACAGATTGATGGCCTGTTTCAAGAAACCTGTCCTTCCCCCTAGGAGCAGCAACTTTGGGCAGCAGGGCGTCTGGGTGTTTGAGATTGGGAGTCCCACCGCAGACAGTGTCGTGGTGCCCTCATATGTGAGCCTTGGACTGGATTACCGTGAAGAGTATGATGATGAAGATTATGACACGGCGACACGCCTGGGCCTGGAAGATGAGGCCACCACATCCTTCCCCTTTGAGGTTCGACAACGGGGAGACACTGACACATACAAGGCACCCAGTGTCCTCGCCCCACGCCGCCTGGATATCGAGGACCCCCCTGGACTTCCCACAGAGAGAACCAGGTCTTTCCAGTTGCCGGCGGAGAGGTTTTCCCAGCAGCACCCACAGGTCATAGATGTGGATGAAGTTGAGGAAACGGGAGTTGGTAAGGCTGTTTCTGTAGCTGTTGGCATGTTCTTGGACTCTTGGGTTTCCACACAGGAGTATTGTGGCAGGTTATTGGTTATGTGCATTGTGGCGTGATTTGTAAGGTTAGCCTGAGGGGAGTCGGAACACAGCCTCAGCACGTTGGCGGATAGGCCCAGTGCTTCAGATTCTCCACCTGGTCTTTTGGGGTTAGGGCAGAGATCGTGGAGATGGTTGAACTGTCTTCTTTCAAGTTTCCTATTTTTCTTTTGTCTGTTGTAAAGAGAAAAGTGCTTTAGAATTATTTTGAAAGTCAGATTTTCTTATTTGTGAGTGCTGAGATCAGAGGTCTATTCACCCACCTGAAAAAACATTTTAGAAGTTCTTTAGCTCTTTACGCAACTTATCTTGAACATTTGTTTCCTCCTGAGTTTGGAATGAGAATGGTTGATTATTTTTCCTCCCAGGTCCTACCAGTTTCAGAGTTAGTTTGTAAAAGTAAAAAATAAGTAGGTCGCTCCCCTTTAAAGATAGTTTTTAAAGATAGTTGTTTAGAAGTGCTGTATCTTTGATCAACCATATTATGTCAGATTTTCATTGCAATTTAAAGAAAACACCAATTTGAACCCTGCTGTGCTTTGATTTGTCTTACAAAACAGATTCAAACTAAACTGTTTATTATTTTTTGCTCCTCATAATTGATATAAAATTCACTAGGATTTCTATAAACAGGTTGATCCAAGTCTTTAAAGGATGTTTTCTATGACTCCTGCTTCTACTATGAAGTTATCAATTATGTGCATTGTGTGGTGTTTTGTAAGGTTAAGGTGGGGGGGATGGGCACAGCCTCAGGGCATTGGGGGAGGGGCACAGCCTCAGGATGATCTTTTGGGATTATGGCTGATCATGGAGATGGCTGAACTGTTCTTTTTCAAATTTCCTATTTTTCTTTTGTCTGTTTTATTAAAGAGAAAAATCCACTCCATTCCACATTATTTACTCACTTCTGTGTCTTCCTACTTGTTCTGATTTGTCTCATAGCAATACTTATAAATGTTTGTTCTTGTGAGGTATCCTAAGCATGGACAAGATCTGGTCACCAGGGGTAGTGTGTTAAGTACTTCTGATGCACAGCGATGAGAGGTTACCCTTTGGTGGCATGATGAGGACATGGGCTCATGTCTTGGGGTTTTGCTTGCACACACTGCATCCTGGATTTCCTGGGGGGTGCTGATGTCTGTAAGCATTTGGCATTCTGCTCTGATAGCTGGGTTTCAGAGTGTAGGCTGTGTTTACTTGCAGAGGTTGAGTTTTGAGGCATATCCTGTTTTCACCCCATCTAGGTATCTCATTTGTGAAGCTATCACTTTGAAATCAGACCATATCTAGCCCCTCCAGCCACCTTGAACTAATGGTGGTTTATTCTTTGGTACTGGCAAAAGCTTACAATTGAACCCCAGAGGTGTCTAAAACAGATACTTTTCTGTCATTCCATCCCAGTTACTTTGTTTTTATTAGCAAGATCATTTTTTCTGTAACCAGCAGTGCGTTGAGCTATTTGAATAGTCACCCACAGATACACAGACTGTAACACACCAACAGCTGGAACTTAAATAGTCAGTTACAATCACTTCTGTTTAACCCAGGATCCAAACACTATTGTAATGTACACTGGAAATGCCCTTCGGAGTATTGTAAGACCAATCAAGTCTACCAGGGGTTAAACTTTACTTTTATCTTCACTCATAACAGTTAATTACAAGTTGGGTCGTTATCCTCTCTGAAAGTTCTTTTTCTCTTCTGCTTTTGAACTTCACTCCAAATTAAATTTGCTCTGGATTATTAAGTTTAATGGACTAGTTAACGATTTTAATAAAATGAAACAAGGAGGTAGAAATTTAAAATAGGAGGAAATTCTTTTTGCTTTTTGGGTCATAGGCTTTTCAGCCAGGAATGACTGAGGAATTATTTCTAATCAGCTTTTGAGTAAAATTAGAGTTTCTGAGTTATCTCTTGGGGAGAAGAATAGGCAAAAAAAGCTTTAAGATAATATAAATTCATTAAAATGGCAAATTATATACATATATGTACATATACATATATATGCATATATATAAATCAAATAAAAATCTAGTAAAAGAACATTTTAAGGTCCTCCAAATGTGAAACTTATTCTGCTATGTACATTGGATGGACACCATATTAAGATTGATTTGGGATGGCAGTAACCTAATACTGATTCTGTGAATCTCCATACACTGAATTATAGCATTTTAAAGTAATTCACTCTTGTGATTTCTCAAACTCCGTTTAGATCCATTTGCCTTGATGGTTTGAGTAGTGGAGCCACCATATTAATTAAGTAGTTTCAAGCAATGAGGCCTATCCCCGAATTGCCCTAGCAGATGTGGATTCCTACAAGGTTTGAGGACACGGTGTGATAAAGCTTTGGGGCGCACAGCCCTGTGAGCGCTCACTGATGTGTGTATTTCTCTGAACAGTTTTCAGCTACAACACGGATTCCCGCCAGACTTGTGCCAACAACAGACACCAGTGCTCCGTGCATGCAGAGTGCAGGGATTTCACCTCAGGCTTCTGTTGCAGCTGTGTTACTGGCTATACGGGGAATGGCCGACAATGTGTTGCGGAAGGTATGTGGCTTTCCTGTGTCCTGTTCATGGGGGGAGAAGGCGGAGGAGTAGTGTGTTGTTGTTGTTGTTTTTAAGATTTATTTATTTATGCATACAAGAGCAGGGGCATAGGCCAGAGATGCGGGGTGTGAAAGGATTCACCAGAGACTGAATGGGGAACAGAACAGGCAAACTAACCAAAATACACTGCTGAGGGGAGCAGCGGGCGAGACAGGAGAGGTCTGCCTTGCCATGTGGGTTGCTCCCTGGCGGGCCTGGGATCGAACTCATGCAGTAGAGGCTTCGATTGCTTCATAGTGCGGTGTTCAACCCCTTGTGCCACTAGGGAGGCCTGAGTAGTGTGTCTTTTGAAATGTGGCCTTTACTCAGAGTTTTAAAAGTGGAGAGTGTTTTCAGTAGAACAATGATGTTTAATTTCTCATTCCCCACTCTTTCTCTTAACTTCTTTCATGGGTGTTGCTAGGGAATACCTATTTTTCTAATGAGGTGATGTCTCTTTCTTTCCTATGCTAATTTCTCCATCTTTGATATGACTGCCATAGGGAACCCATCTTCACAACTACCCCTGGCACAGAACTGATGCAACCTGGACCAGGATTTGTTAGTGCCGCCCATTTTCCTCAGTTTCTTTCAAACCTCTTTTTTGGTATTGCTCACAGTCAGACTGTCCTAATGGTTGCTCAAACCCAGTAGGGCCACAGAACTGGTGTTGGTCAAAACTTACAGTGGGTAGGGTCTATTCCAATCTCCTTTCCCCGTTGGTTTCCCTTTCCTTGCGCCTGTGAATCCCCAGCATGGTGATGGTGGAGTCCCAAGGGTACACCATGGTTCATTCTAGAGCACCCAATCCACTATGGGGTTAACTCCCAGATGGATTCAGCTGTGGAAGGACAAAGGTTCTGATCTCAGGCCTCCAAACACCAGTGTCATGTTATCAGATGATCAGAAATCTTCCTGCACAGGTCTCAGGCATCTGGATAACAATTTTCTCAGAGAATAAGGCGCTCAGAGCCTGAGATGTTACAGTGTGATATACATAGAAAGGGGAAGTTCCAGGTTCCCTGCCCCACCTAAGGAAGGGTGGTGCTGAGCAGGGAAGAGAGGCTAGAAAGAGTGGGCAGAAGGTATGAAGGAGATCAAGAATACCTGGAGGAGGTGAATGGAGCAGAGACATGTTAAGAAGCTGTGCTTGCTTCTTGGCCTAGGACTTGTACCAGGCACTTGGGGAACAAGGAATACTTGAAAAAGACATGGATGAGAGATCCATGGGGAGGCCGACAATGGCAGTCTTTATCTTGACTTGGGTTTTAATTTCGCTCTTTTCCTTCCAGACTTGCCAGACCCCTTCTGCCCCTTTCCTATGTGTTCCCCCCAGGAGGTGCCTTAGACTTGAGGCAAGCTTTTGGGCCTCAGTGGTCTGGCTTTTGGCCAACCCATTTTGGCTGGGCATTTAGCCATGAGGGGATGGGTAATTTTAGGTGTTTAATTGGAAACTATTTTAATTATATTCTTTCACTTTTCTCATACACTAATTGTATTCAAGTTCCTTTCCATTGAAGGTCTTATGCACTGGAGTATGTTTTGTCTTAATGCAGCAGATGGCAGGACCCATTTAGAGCATGCGGGTTTAGGGACCCTGGGGTGCCCCTCATTCTGCACTGTAATAAGATCATAAACTAGAATTAAACAAAAACAGCAAAACATACTGAACATTTGTCCCTTCAGATGCCAAGTCGCCTCTTTTGTCATAGGTTGTTTACTTCAATTGCTCTGCAAAATTTGACTAAAGAAAACTCAGAGTAATGTTTTGTTTTTCAGATTTGCCATAACTATAGTTAAATATTTCATTTTAATTTGCTAAAAAGTTTCCTTATGGGTCACAATTCGATAAAGTAAGTGTTGTTCACACTATCTTAAGCAATGAAAGAAAAAAAATTTTGTATTCTTTTCATGTTATTTTGGGGGAATGTTTTTAACTTCTAAAATGTGTTTTATATTTCCTTCTTAATCCTACAAATCCAGGGGTGGTGTGCTTTTTGCTTCCTTGTTTTAGGTTTGGCCTTTTTACTTCTCCCACCCTGGGAAAAGCTTCCAAAAGCTACAATGAGAGCTTATTCTTCAAGGGCAAGCTCATTAGCTCTCCGCATGCCAGATAGAGCTGGAAAGCTGAGCGGTTTGTGTTTGGCTGCTAGCTCAGATAAGACAAACTATTCAGCTATGTATTTTGACTTTACATACATGCCTGATAATAGTTTTGAGCTTTAAATATTTGTTGGATTATTGCAGATTTGAAATATTTTTCTAGCTCAACATGGGGGGGCGGGGGACATTTGTTTGGTTTACTTCATTTGGCTATCCTGTTTGTTTCTGTAATTGTCCTTAGGATGCATTTTTGGGGTATGAGTCTTCTAATTTGACAGCATTCCCCAGCGTAATGACACAATTTTTGTGCAGAAATACTCTGTGTCAAGTATGCTTTGACTTGTCAGTGACCCTGTTTAACAGCTTGAACTTACTGAGCACAGGTCTTTAGAACAGAGGTGATGGTGCCAGGTTAAAGTTAGGGTTATTCAACAAAGTTTTCTGTGAACTGATCATGTACAGAAACTTTGGTGGGGGCCAAATGAGGGATCTGGTTAAGGAAGTTCTGTCCCTAATAATTTATAATGCAGAAAGAGAATTAAAAGATGTGCAATCAGTAACTGCTAGAATTTAATTCTACCTCAAACTTGAATAGTCCAAGGTGACCTTTCTTTTACCTCTTCCTTTCTTTTTATTTTTAAAATAAACATTTTCAATTTAACAGTCCTTTAAAGTATGCTATTTGGTGTTTTTTAGTATATTCACTAAGTTGTGCATTGTTCCATCTATCTAATTTTAGAACATTTTCCTCTCTCCAGAAAGAAACCCTGTATCCATTAGCAGTTACTCCTTTCTCCTCAAGTGCTCCAGCCTGATAATAACTAATCTACTTTCTTCCAGTATTGGGTTTTCTTATTCTGGACATTGCATATAAATGGAATCATACAATATGTGATCTTATGTGTTTGGCTTCACTTTCTTAGCATAATGTTTTAAAGGTTCATCCATGTTTTAACCTGTATCAGTACTTCCTTCCTTTTTTCTGGCTGAATATCATTCCACAGCATGGATATACCACATTTTGTTTTACCATTCATCGATTGATGGACATTTGGGTGGTTTCCCATTTTGGCTATCATGGTTAATGCTGTAAGAACATTTGTGTACATGTTTTTGTGACAGCATGTTTTCTATCCTCTTTGGTATATACTTAAGAGTTGGAATTGTTAGGTCATATGATAACCTTTAGTTTTCTTATTTGAGTACAAGAAAAACTTAATTTCTTTATATCTTAACTTGCATATTATAAATATATGCAAATTATAAATATTATAGAAATATATAGTACAGAAAATGAAAGGTCACTGTTACTCTGAGTTAACCATCATTAACTGTTAGTAGGTTTGCATATGTCTTTTCAGATATTTCCCCCTAGGTATTTGCTAATACTTATTATTAGTGTATTTTTTTTAACAAAACAAAAGTGGTATCCTAATATACTATTTGGTATAAAAGTAGTATTCTAATAGGCTCTTTGGCAATTTATGAAGAAAGTTTTTAAATTTGACATAGTAGGTTTCATATCTTCCCAGTTGTGTAAACGAAACAATAAATAAACACCTCAGTTTGGTTCTACATCAGAGGGGGTGTGTGTGTGGTCTGTAATGTCCATTGTGCCCAAATCTGTTCCTGTGTGGGCTGGATATAGTACCAGGATTCCAGGGCTCAGACTGGCAATCATAACCCTGAGTAATAGAGATGTATCGATATTTATAGATCCAGAGATATTTATTAAGATGTACTGTAGATTGGACAACAAATGATCCAGGTAACTGGGACCATCCAATTTATCTCTGCTATCCCAATGAAATTATTAATTTTGTCCCTTTACTCTCAGAAGTAATCAATTATATCACTACCTGGTTCCAGATCACCTGTGATACTGTTCTTTTCCTGAGGTTATTTTATTTGCCCCAGAAGTTCCTTCACCCCATAGTGACCCCCAGTGGAATCGCCTCCATGTCATCCACCATCAGTCAGCCTGGAAGAAAGGCAGGAGTTGGGATTTCTAAAGTTCACTGTCTTCCAGGAAAAAACAACTACTTTTGCTTATCCCAATATCCCAGCACTGTTCTGACTGTGCTTTATAGGAACAGGGGTCCTACCACACATATTACTCTTTTTTGAATGATTGGCTTCTTTGTTTCTCGCTCAGGTACTCCTCAGAGAGTTAATGGCAAGGTGAAAGGAAGGATCTTTGTGGGGAACAGCCAGGTCCCCATTTTCTTTGAGAACACTGACCTGCATTCTTATGTGGTGATGAACCATGGGCGCTCCTACACAGCCATCAGCACCATTCCCGAGACCGTGGGGTATTCTCTGCTTCCTCTGGCCCCTGTTGGAGGCATCATTGGGTGGATGTTTGCAGTGGAACAGGACGGATTCAAGAATGGGTTCAGCATCACAGGTAATTTATATCCAATATTAACATTAAGGAAGCAGTGAGTCAAATCCTGGTCCCTACTACTGCCAGCACAATCTCAGAGACAGAGCCAACCCTGGTTTATGGCTTGAAATCAGCTTCTCTCCTTTGTGCATGACTCAGTTGGGCCACATGGATGTCCCAGCTCTATCCTCAGTGTCACTAACCACATTTCTACCAACCAAATGAAAGCATCTTCAGACTTTGTGACATGGAACCTAGGGTATGTATATGGCGGCTTCCCTGAAAGCAAAGTGACAGACTGACCTTGTTTTTCAGGGGGCGAGTTCACTCGCCAGGCCGAGGTGACTTTCGTGGGGCACCCAGACAAGCTGGTCATTAAGCAGCGGTTCAGCGGCATCGACGAGCACGGACATCTGACCATCGACACTGAGCTGGAAGGCCGTGTGCCACAGATAGCCTTTGGCTCCTCCGTGCACATCGAGCCCTACACCGAGCTCTACCACTACTCCCCCGGGGGTGAGCTGCAAGCCCACGTCTGGGCTCAGTGGGGCACTGGCCACAAGCTTCTGATTCACCCACCTCTGCAACAGCCCTGAGTTGGTGCAGACTCCTGGGGCCGACAGGGAAATACATGGGGCATTGCCTTACTAAAATCACCTTTCCCCCTAATGTGGACATAATTCACGAACATGGTAGAGAATGTAGTGCAAAAAAGGAAAATAAGCATGACATCATTGTAAAACCAGGATATTATTAAATTTAAATGTATTTCCTTTAACCTTTCCTTATATATTTCCCAATATATATATAAATCCCAACATATTATATAACCTCAAAATAAAGTAATACAATTTTATTATAAGTCCTGGGGAAACAATGTACAGCACGGATAGCACTTTTTTATCTTAAGTAATTTCAAATTTACAAAAAAGTTGAAAACAGCACAATTTTTTATGCCACTTACCCAGCTTCAGTTGTTAACATTTTGCCACATAATACTTAGTGTTTTTCCAAACAACAAGAACATTCTCTTAGATGACTACAGTATAGTGATCAAAATCAGGAAATTTAACATTGAAGCAATATATAATGTACAGCCAGGCATATCATTTTTATTTAAATAAAATTGCAATCCTAACACAGTATTATAGCTTCACTTTCCCATGGTTCCAAATCATGAATATTTTATAGTTTCATTGGTTTGGCTTTGGAAATACTTGAAATGCATTCTATTGTATGGCTAGTTAATTTAAGCCAGTCTATTTTCTAAAGCCAATTTTCCCTTCTCATATGAGTTGAAATGACTGTATTCATCATAAATCTTGACCAAATTTGTTACTCTCTTCTGAGACTCAATTCCTAGAAATAAAAAGGTAAAGTTGAACAATAGCAAGTTTTTAAAAGATGCTGATGAAATTGCCACCCAGAAAGCTTGTACCAATTACCAAGGCCATGTGGCACAACTGGGCTCTCTTGGGGGTGCCAAGAGAGGATGAATAGGAGGTAGAACCAGCAACAGGTCCAGGTCTGCAACCAGATGGTGTTCCTGGCAGCCCAGCACGTGGGAGCTGGACAGGAGGCAGTTTACACTAATCTTTTATTTATCCTCTGGCTTTTATTATGAACTACAGCAGAGCACACAAATATAAAGAGTCTTTTATCCTTTTTTTAAAATAGGAAGTTGAGAGTTTTATTGTGAGGGTGAAAGCAGGCTTTCTTATGAGTACAAAAGACTGTCTCTCTGTTGAGGTCTGCTCCATTCTGTAGTAACTTTTCAGAAATTGGCTACTGAAACTTCTTTAATGTCTTCTGTTTTACTGTCACAGACTGTTCGATTTCGGGTTTTCCATAGCAGTATTTATTGACTCCTAAGTGAGCTCACCTCTGTGAAGCAGTTGGCACTTGAGTTACTTGATCAATGCTCGGCAAGTGATAGTTTTTCTTAACTAGAGTGCTAGCCTAGTCCATTGCAAAAACTCTGCAGATATCTCATCCTCGCCCCTACTCACGTTATAAAAAAGAAACTGAGGCTGAAGACGTGAGTATCCCGCCTGTGGTCACACCTGTAGGAGTGACAGTGGGAGGGGTGAATTCAGGTGGCTCTCCTTCCTGGCCTGTGTTCTTTACACCATACCTTAATCTCTGGTTGGCTCAGGAATTTATAAAGACTTGATGAGAAAAAAACAGCAAATGCTACTAATGCAAAGAATGCCGGTGGTGTGGAAATCTTAGGCAGCAGAATGAGACCCAACACAGAAATAAATGGTCTTTTTTTATCTGTTTCAGCTTTTCTCACCTCCAGTGGTATTATGGACAGGGGTTACTGTTGATAGTTTTAAAGCCTTTGATTGGACTTTGCATCCTTAAGATCTCTCCTCTGCCTCCCAGTGATCACATCCTCCTCCACCCGGGAGTACACGGTCACAGAGCCCGAGAGAGGCGGTGCCTCCTCTTCAAATGTCCACACTTACCAGTGGCGCCAGACGATCAACTTCCAGGAGTGCCCCCATGATGACTCCCAGCCCACCCTGTCCCGCACCCAGCAGCTTACCGTGGACAGCGTGTTTGTCCTATACAACCAGGAGGAGAGGATCTTGCGCTACGCTCTGAGTAACTCCATCGGTCCTGTGAGGGGTAAGAGACGCAGCTCAGATTGGGCATCTGAATATGTGCCCGCATGCCTGCTCTGTGCTCTTGGACATACTGTACCTCTCTATACTCAGTATGAAGAAAATTATGCTAAAGTATCTCCTGAAACAAGCAAACAAAAATCTTGTTGTCCATTGAGACAACCTATTAAGGTAACCCACCTTAAAGAACTGACCTCCCAAAAAGCACAGCTAGCTTCAGCAAAGCATTTAAACCCTCTAATACTCAGCCAACACGCACTCAGGGCCCATGGAAATCTAAATAATATGATGAAGTTCAGGCATGGAGCCTGCAACCAATCGTGCCCTATGACCATGCACCACGCATGCTGACAGCTGGTCTGTCCATGCTCTGGCTGCAGCGAAGGAGCTGGCATTCTGGGAGCTAATGAGACAGCTCAGTGTCAGATTTCACCAGGTCTAAATCTTTAAATGCAGGAGCTCTGAGTATTTGGGTTCCATGTATGACGGTATTTCTCTTTTTCGGTTGTTTTTAGATCTCCCTCCATCCTCAGGCCTCTTCTCCAGCTAATCAAGTTTGCCCTTGCCTAGCTCCCTTAAAGTAGCAGTTGTCCTTTAACAACTGCCGCTGCAGGCATCAAGGGGAGGCACTTTGTTTCTTAGAAGACCAGATAGTAAACATCTTAAGGTCTGCCAGTTATAGTCTTTGTTTTTAAACTTCAGTCCTAGGCCTCCATGGTGGCACAAGGGGTTAAGCACAGTGCTGTGAAGCTGTTCGCAGCCTCTGCAGCACAAGTTCGATCCCCGGCCTGCCGGGGAGCTACCCACATGGCGCAGCAGACCTCTCCTGTCTCACCTGCTGTTCCCCTTAGGCAGTGTATTTCAGTCGATCTGCCTGTTCTGTTCCCCACTCTGCCTCTGGTGAATTCCCATACCTCTGCCCTGTACCCCAGTTCTTGTATACATAAATAAATAAATTTAAAAAAAGTAAATAAACGTCAGTCCTGCCATTGAGCACCAAAGCAGTCACAGACCATGTGCAAGGGAGTAGGGGTGGCTGCTTGTCAGTAAAACTATCTTTATAAAATAGGTGTGGTTAGGAGAGATGCCGTTTACTGATCCTGCCCCAGGTGACACAGGAGTCAGCTGGCTTGTCCTCTTGGTAATCGGCCCCGTTTTCTTTTTTGTGGAAGGAGGAAATGTATAAGAGTTAGAACACTCACTTGGTTTCACTGTCTCTGCTCACAGATGGCTCCCCTGATGCCCTTCAGAATCCTTGCTACATTGGCACCCATGGGTGTGACACCAATGCCGCCTGTCGCCCGGGCTCTGGGACACAGTTCACCTGCGAGTGCTCCATTGGCTTCCGAGGAGATGGGAGGACCTGCTACGGTACATCTTTCAGTTCTGATCTTTGGGAGTCTGGGGGGAGCAGGCTAGCTAGAAGGAAGTGTCTGTAAATCAAGAGCTGGGTGAGGCAGCTCTGTAGAAGCAGAGACATAAATACTGATGGACACACCACCCCAGTTACTTAGCCCACACTCGTGTTCCCAGGGTAGTGTTAGGGGTTCTGCCCCTTTCTTTCATCTGATTAGAAGCACTGATCATGCAGTAGAGCAGAATTTAGAAGGCCACACTCTACCTAAAGAACACACAGGTTGAGGACCTCCCCTGATGGCGCAGTGGTTGAGCGCTGGGCTGCAAAGCTGCCCGTGGCCTCTGCAGCTCTGGTCCGATCCCCAGCCACCGACAAGGGTCCCACATGGTGCACAGACCTCTCATGGCGTGCCCGCTGCTCCCCTCAGCAGTGTACTTCGTCAGTCTGCCTGTTCTGCTCCCCACTCTGGCTCTGGTGAATTCTCTCACCCAGTGCTTGTATAAATAAATAAATAAATCTTAAAAAAAAAAAAAAGAAAATGAAAAAAAAAAAAAAGAACACATGGGTTGAAAGGGAAACAAAAGTCAGCGCCATTTTTAACACTAAGAATTTAACGATAAACATAATGTTGCCTAGACACTGTCTTATTAGGTGCTATCCATTTCAACACCATTTCACTCAGTTCAACAGTTCTTAATGTGATAGAGTCTTTCATTTAAGTGTACAATTCAGCTGCATTAAGTCCACTCCCACTGTTGTACCATCATCTCCAGACCCCTTTTCATCTTGCAAGACTGAAACCCTACTCCTACTAAACAACAGCTCCCCATTATACTTCCTCCCATCCCTGGCAATCTCCATTGCACTTTCTATGTATAAATCTGACTCCTCTGGATCCCTCATATATGTGGAATCATACAGCATTTGTTCCCCTAGTTACACTTAGCATAATGTCCTCAAGTTTCATCCATGATCCAACATGAGTTTTCGAATTTCCTTCCCTTTTAGTGCTAATTGTATTCCATTGTATGCAGAGATGGCATCTTTTTATCCACTTACCCATCACTGGGTCCTTTGGTTGCTTCAATTCTTTGACTATTGTAAAGAATGCTGCTGTGAACATGGTGTGAAAATATTTGTTTGTGTTCCTGCTTTCAGCACTTTTGGGTATATCTACCCAGAAGTGGAATTACTGGATCATAAGATAATTCTGTTTGATTGTTTTTTGGGGGGGGGAAACTTCATACCATTTTCCACAGCAGCTACACCATTTTACATTCCCACCTATGGTGTGCAAGGGCTGTATTTTCTCCATATACTTATCAGGACTTATTTTCTGTTTTTTTGTGGGGTTTTTTTTGGGGGGTGGGGGGTGGTGATCATCCTGATGGGTGGGAGATTTATTGTTTTTATAAATGAGAAAACTGAGAATCATTACATTATCAGTGACAGATATTAGTGCTTGAGTCTGACTCAAGTATGTTTATTAACTTGCCTTCTCATTGCACTCATTTATTATTTATAGTTTCATTCCAAAAACTTTCATATAGACTTGATATTGATGTTTTTGTTACTAAGTTTCAATCCCCTACCAGGGGCAGTTAGTTGACTCCCGACTCAATGCAGAAACCATACATCAGAGGCCACTCATGCAAGAACATCGAGTGCTTCAACCAGTGCTCCTAAATCTGCAGCAGAGAGCCCACTGGTGAGCATAGGGAACACTAGAAGGTTTCTGTAGTAACGTGAGTGGTGTACATACACATATGTTTGACCAGAAAGATAAGCAGGCCCCTTAATTGACTGGGATATAAGAATCTGGTGAGTTTGACAGCTGTGGAATTTTGGAATGCTATCTTAGCACTGAAATCCAATGCCTTCAATTAATGATTGATTTAGTGTGCTGATTTAACTTGAAGGGTAACAGATCCTGCTGTCATGGTATTGTCCTTGCTCCAGAGTGAAACTTTATCTAGGGTATTCATTGGAAGGTCTGAAATAATGGAGAGCAAAGACTTGCAGAGAAGAGATTGTCCAATTGTTTAGCTAACTTGCTGGTAACTTTGGACATGTGGTAGAATTCAATCTGAGATTCACTTTCTTTGTAACGTACCATTGGGGAGGGGACATAGTTCTACTCACCTCTGATCATAAGAGTTCCCCAATATTTCCCCAAACAGCCCAGCAGTCTTGAATGACTGAATTGGTTCAGGCAGATTTGAAACAACATGTGTGTGTATGAGCAAAAGGCCTCCCAGGGCCACGCAGATGGTGATGGGTACCAGGCAGGGGTGGGAGCCCCTTATTTCTCTAGTGGAAGTATAGACCTCGTTAGTCTTTAAGTAGTCCTACTTCAATCCATAAGTCAACTGAATTTTAATGAAGCATGGAGATACCCAAACCTATTGCTTCTGATCTATAACCTTTGGCTAGTTCCATCCTTGGTGCCTGAGCTCTTCGTGGTGGGAGAGCTTACATCACTTCACAAGGCACAGCTGGCCATGCTTTCTGTAATCTGATGCTATTGTAGAAAACTCATAGCAGGAATTTAGAAAACCTAAATAAGGGACCAGGAAAAAGACTAATTATAATAAAGAAAAATTCAAAATCAACAAGCAACTATAAACCAGAGACACACTATGGGTAGGGGGGGCGGTGAGGAAAGGAGGGATTAGGGTCAAAATAAGGGGGGTGGAAATTGTATGGGAAGAATAACCAAAATGAAAATGCATACACTGTACAAAAATGAAAAATGATGTAAGAATTATATAAAATAAAATATACTAAAAAAAAAAAGAAAGAAAACCTCCACACATGATAGGTGATCATGTGTGGACTTGCTTTAGTTCTGTGGTTAATCCTTGTTTTGGCAAATTAGCACCATGGAATGGGGTATATTCCTAGTCAGACTATGTATTTTTCTGAATCACTAGCATGTGCCTCAAAATATTTATGCATAGAGATGCTAGGCAGTAGATACAAAATTGCATTCGGCAGATCACTTCATGTATTATTTTGACCTAGAATGTGCAGTAGAAGAGAGTGAAGGATGGGTCTTTGTAATTCAGAATATGTAAGCTATACATCCTCATTACTATAATGAGAGATGACATCTAAAACAAGGCTTGTGGGATACACACAACAGTTTAACACCGCAGGATAATTTGGAGATTTCCACTTGAATCACAGAACTCAGGTGCCTGGCAGAATGGCTTCCATGTATTTCTCAATTAAGAGTCTGTAAATACAGTTTTGGCTAATCTCTCATTGAATAATTTTGAGAACACACGAGATATTTAACAAATCAATCAAAAGACTTTCCTCAATGAAGCTGGCCCTTACAAAAGGGCCAAATTGGAGAAGTTCATGTTGAAACAAGGTAGTAAGTAGCCAGTCTGAAAAAAGTGAAAAAGGAAGCAGTAGGGCCTCCCTGGTGGCACAAGGGGTTAAGATGTAACCTATGAAGCTATCTGCAGCCTCCTCTGCAGCATAAGTTCAAACCCCGGCCAGAGAGCTCCCACATGGCACAGCAGACCTCTCCTGTCTCTCCCGCTGCTCCCCTCAGCAGTGTGTTTCAGTCGATCTGCCTGTTCTGTTCCCCACTCTGTCTCTGGTCAATCCTCTCACCACCCACACCTCTGGCCTTTACCCCAGTTCTTAGATGCATAAATAAATACATCTTTGAAAAAAAAAAAAAAACGAAGTAGTAAATGACAATAATCCAGGAGTTTCTTATTGGGTTAGAGAATGATTTATGTGAAAGGCAATCTCTCCCTAGAGCAGGGGTCGACCAGATATTGAATAATAGGAATGGAAATCATTAAGGATCTATTGTGCTATTTTATGAGCGACAATTATCACCAATTCTTTCTTTACACTAAAGAAAGGATTAAAATCCTAGCCGCAGTTTACATAAGGGAGGATTAAAATTTGACATTAGGAAGAATTTCCTAATGGAGAAATTGTTAGGGTCTTGCTCTACAGGAAGGTGTGGTCCAGCTTCCATAGTACATGTAGACCTGCATGGAGGTACAGGTTGTGCTCAGTCAGGGACCATTCCCTCCCTCACCCCACAGGCCCCAGATCCTATTTACCAGTGGTCCTCCAGGTAGGGCATGACGATCAGGCACTCTCCAAATCACCTAAGAAATTGTTTTAAAACCCAGTGCTTCCCTTTCCATAAACCTTTCCGGGTGACTGGGTGGGAGGACTGGAGTTTGGAAAATATCCCTGGTGATTCTCTTCTTCCCCTTTGATTGGAAGCTGTTGCTCTGTGCTGTTGCGCTTTGGCAGTTGTGTCTCAGCCTGGGAGCCCTGCAGTCTGTACAGTGTGTCCAGACATCTGTGCTGGGAGTGTCCTCTGAGGGTTGTACAGAGACAGTGGAAGCCAGAATAATCTCTTTCTCCCATGTGGTGGGAGCCACAGCTGGAGGATGGAGCTGTGAGGTCCACGCTTGCTCAATACCCCTCCCTTCGGCCCACTTCTAGCTCCAGGTCACAGAAGGAGCTGCTTTGGGAGTGATTTATTCTGTAACTTCCCAGCTGTGCTCACTCAGTCCCCTTGTTGGAGGGCTTCACAGCAGCATACATTGCAGTATAATTTTTAAAAATCTGACTGCCATTTGTTTAGAGGTTTTGTCTTGATATAAGTCAAACTAGGGGGTTGATGTAGCAAAATTATTTCCTGGATAATGTCCAATTAGCATTTGTCTCAAGAACGAAGAGACACCAGTATAGACATCTCGGGTAGACATGTGACATTTTAGTCTCTCAGGTGTGAAAGAGCTTGAGGGGTGTGGGTGTTGAGGGAGAAGGAAGGGGAATTGTATAGTCTTTCTTAGCCATTACTGAAGTTTTTCTCACATACTTCTCAGAGTTGTAGAAATGTACAGTTGTAGAACTGTATATTCTCTGAGCAAGAGGTTTGTATAGGTAGGGACTTTGTGATTGTATTCATTTCAGTCATTAGCGGACAGGTGTATCGAGGCTAATGACTGGTCACTCAGTTTCTCGTAAGGGTCAACCAGCCTTACTGTAACAGTAGCTAGAGACTGGCTCCTGATGCCCAGTGGCCACCTGAGTGCCATGTTCCTAGAACCGGCTAAATCTATTCCCGTGGCTGGTATTGAAAGGTGAATCCTTAGAAAATATAATAATAGCTGCCTTTCTTGAGCATGCTAGGTGTTGCCTGTGTTCATTTTCTGTTTTCTTAGAAGAACCCCTCAAAATGAGTGTTATGCTTACTTACCAATGAAAAACCGAGGCCAAGTGGTTAGATAACTTGCCCCAAAATCACAGAAGCTGGTGAGTAGAGGAGATGGGATTTGAAGCTAGCTACGTTCACTTCCAAAGCATCTGCTTTTTGCTCCACACATCCCATGTGATGGCTGTAGTATTCTCACATGAAAAGACACCTCCCACTGTGAGTTCATTTACAGTCTTAGGAGTTCATGGCTTTGCTTTTATTTCATTAAACTTCAGTTAAGGGCCTCCCCAGTGGCACAGCAGGTTGAACACAGTGCTGTGAAGCTGTCCACATGCAGCCTCTGAATCGCCGGTTCATTTCCCGCTGGCCAGGGAGCACCCACATGGTGCGGCAGACCTCTCCTGTTTTGCCCGCTGCTCCCCTCAGCAGTGCTTTCGGTCTGTCCACCTGTTCTGCTCCCCGCTCTTTCTCTGGTGAATCCTCTCACCCTCCTGCACCTCTGACCTGTACCCCAGCTCTTGTATAAATAAATAAATAAATATTTTAAAAATAAATAAACTTCAGTTGACATTCAAAACTTTAAATATTTGAACTCAAACTGTAATTGGAGAAAGGTACTATTTTTGAACAGGTATTGAAATATGCTCTGCAGGTTTAGGAATCTTTAGGGACACTTGTCTACACTTCTTTCTAGTATGAATTTGCCAATGTGATGTTAGTGCACCTCACTTAGCAACTAAGTCCAGGGGAGGCGAGGGATGCACCCAGTCACTTAAGAGAAATAAACTTTTTTTTTTTTTTTTTTTTTGCTTTGGGATCAAGTTATGTGTGGAAAAAAGAAGCCAACTTAATGGCATTTTTATAATATAGAAACATTTGTTTCAAAATTGATCTACTCACAGACAAAAATGCTCTATTTTTCTTATTTTATCACTTAATATGTTTTATTAAGTGATGTTTGGAGAGGTTTAAAAAGAGTGCTTTTTTTAAACTGTGTTGTAGATATTGATGAATGTTCAGAACAACCTTCAGTGTGTGGGAGCCACGCCATCTGCAATAACCACCCAGGAACATTCCGCTGCGAGTGTGTGGAGGGCTATCAGTTTTCAGAGGAGGGAACATGTGTGGGTAAGTTTTGACAGTCATTTTTCAGAAGTTATTCACATAGTGTATGTTAGCACCTGCATAACAGATACTGCCCCAGGTAATTACACTGGCTGTGATGGAAGGTGCCTGGTTTTGGAGTTGGACAGATCATTTACCAAGATGAATCAGACTTCGTTCCTTCCCACCAACTACCTGGAGAGTCATGGGTACCAGGAATAAGCAAATCTATTCCCTACACTAATAATGCCATCACCTCGGGGCCTCCCCAGTGGCGCAGCGGGTTGAGCACAGCACTGTGAAGCTGTCTGCAGCCTCTGCAGCACAGGTTCGATTCCCAGCCGGCCAGGGAGATTCCCACATGGCGGGACAGACCTCTCCTGTCTCGCCCGCTGCTCCCCTTAGCAGTGCTTTTGGCCTCACTGCCTGTTCTGCTCCCCACTCTGTCTCTGGTGAATCTTCTCACGTTCCCGCGCCTCTGGCCTGTACCCCAGCTGTTGTATAAATAAAAAATAAATCTTTAAAAAAATAATAATAATAATGCCATCACCTCACCAGTTACCTTTTATATTATATCCCCTTCTTATCAAACTCCCTTTAATTCCTTTCAGTGTTCTTTTAGAAACTATTAAAACAATGAGACGTGTTTCTTCTTATAATTAGTAGCCTTGGGATTCTCGTGCATGGATCACATTATAGGCACCTGTGTCATTATCTGCCTTCGGTTGAATTCTTCCTGATTTACATGTAAAATTTCGTTGTGCACCATTCCGTTCATGGATTTCAATTTTACGAGTCATACGTGGTTGCATAACTTCTTAGCTTTATCAAAGTAAGTGAAATGAGGGTCTTCATTGGGCCAACTATACTTGTGGTGGTGGTGGTGGTGATGGTGATGATGGCCCAACCCCAAACAGGCAGATTGTTGAAATTATTCCACTTTTTCCTATTGCTGCACTTGGACCTGTTGGTGCCAAGAGTTTTAATTTCAAAAATTCTTGGAGATTTCCAGGTCTGGAGGGCAACTTGCCAAATGGGTCAGCTGAACCCAACATGTCTTCCTAATTGAAAATAGATTCTTCTTTGCATCAATGAACCATGGCCTTGCTTCTTTCTTTCTGTTTACTAACCCTAACATGCTTTCAGTTTATTTTATCTTGAATCTCAGATGAGGCTGCCGGAATCCCAGGGTGAGTGGTGTCTTGAGGGCGGGAGGGAACAGGCAGTTCTCATATTTTGAGCATGACCCAAACATCTGTGAATTTAGAGAAGCCAGTTCCTTTTGCAGAGTTGAAATTTCAGCTCTGTTAAAGTTACTTCTAGCTTTGTTTTTTCAATAGAGAATAACAATTTCTGTGCAGTTGGCCTGACTTCCTTCTCTGCTTTTTGAGGTGAAGGAAATGCAAATGTTTATTTTTAATGGCAGCACCATTTGCATTTCAGCTCAAATTTGGATGGTGGAACCTTTACTCAGTGGGACAGATTTGTGTGATGGATACAACCATTCCTGGTATCCCACTTCCTGGAAGGGCAGGTGGTATGCGAGACAGGTGGTGTGCAAATGTCTACACCTAGATATTTGATTTTCAAGAAGACACTTAACCTCATTGAACCTCAGTTCCTTATGTGTAAAATGAAGGGATTAGATGGATCATGGATTAACTGTGTCCCGTGGGGCCCTTGGAGATAACACAGCTGCTGCTAAGGAGTTTACAAAGGTGCATGTGTAGACTTTGTCCCCTGCCTCTAACCTCTAGTCTTTCATTTTCTACATATCAAATTTTGTGAAGAATTTTGTTTGAATAGTGAATCCAACTGCTCAGAAACCAGTGTGAAGATCATTAAGAATCAGCTTCCTGATTCATCCTTTTAATCGACTCCTTTGAGACTCACTGTGTGGGATGATGGCTTGCTGGGTAAAACCAAGTCTGCCTAAGCCCATTTAAATGACTAACTTGGGGCCTCCCTGGTGATGCAAGGGGTTAAGCGTCAGCACTATGAAGCAGTCTGCAGCCACTGCAGCATGAGTTCGATCCCCAGCCAGGGAGCAACCCATATGGGACAGCAGACTTCTCCTGCCTTACCTACTGCTCTCCTCAGCAGTGTATTTCAGTCAGTCTGCCTATTCTGCCCCCCACTCTCTCTGGTGAATCCTCTCACCCCCACACCTTTGGCCTGCACCCCAGCTCTTGTATTCATAAATAAATAAATATTAAAAATAAATAAATAAATAACCAACTCTGGAAAATTTAGTGGTCAGTTTCACCTCTCTCAGAATTCCCTATTAAAGCAGTACCCTGATTTTGAAGCCTGGTTTGGGAAGGTTTCTCTGAGTCAGAGCTAGGAAGGATAAGAAAAGAATCTTGACAGGTGAGGAGACCAACTCTGTGTTCTGCCCACCATGAGGCTGGGACCCACATGGCACATGGAGGCTGGCCAGAGGCAGTTGTCTTCTCACAAGGATTGGATTCATTATAGGAAAGGCTGCTTTATGGACTTCCATAAATGGGATTTTCTGGAAATTGGTGAATTCTCTTTTCCAAGCTTTCAGGTAATCGGAATGTGTAAAGTATATTTATAAGGAAGAAGATGGGCCTTATCTTTCCCTAAATCACCTTTCTGTAAAGACATTCCCTCCATCATAGGGTGGACATGCCCTATGATACTGGCCAGGTGTGGGAAGCTTGGGGAAGTTGGAGGTCCCATTGATTACTCACACTGTCACCTTTTTTGGCATGCCCTTGGCAGACTGGAATAAGGCCAGTTTTAGGCAAAAGGCTAAGTGTCCTATTTTCCTTCCCTTGCCTGCCATATTGTTAGAAAAAAATTATTTTAAAGCATTTGTTGTTGTTATCTTAGTCTCAGAACGTAAAGAAACTTGAGGCCGTGTGAAACCACACTCCTTGGAGCTCTTCACACTCTACCCTTCTTCTTTGCTCAGTTTCTCCTTCCCTCACATTTCTCCCTACCCACCACCCCCATTGCATCATTTCCGGCCCCAGCCAGCCTACAAGTGAATCTCAGGGCCCGCCTCCCTGATCTGCTCATTTCAGGTGAGGGCATAGTCCTTTTCCAAGGTTCTCTTCAGGAATGAAGGAACTGGAAAAGGGAAACCCCAACTTAGAATTTAATTGTAAAATTATTTTTGAATTCCCATCAGAGCCCAAAATGTTCTCTTCCATTCCATCCTGAGGGATAGGGTCAGAGCTGTCAGGAAATTGTCACTCTGCAAGGCTAGGAGCCTTTAATGAAAATGAAATCAGTTACCCAGTATCTCCTTGCGGTGTTAGGATCCCTCCAGGCTGCTAGGGCAGCAACTTCTCTTTTGTAAGGATGGGTCAGTGGCTGTCCTGGTTTTAAATGACTCTTCTTGGAATGAGCACAATCGGTAAGACACTTAGAAATTCTATTTGTACAAGAATTGGAGAAAATCTATGCAGGCTATGGTGAGCAGAGTGGCCACTGTGAACTGTAGGAAATATTTGCCTTTTAGTTGACGTGAAACATGTGCTGAACAATGCTTTGTTTAGTTTAGAAATAAAAAAGAGTAAGCTGCCTGGAGTTGTAAAGCTGACTTTTAAAACCTCTATAAAAAGAAAGTTTCTTTAGCATGAAAAATGGCCTTACATACAGGGAAAGCTGGCTTTGGGGACCCTGATGTGGAGAGTGGCCTGAGACACTAGGGTGAAACTGAAATTGCAGCCAGGCTGGGTGACCAGCTGTGGAGTCAGTCTATTTAGAACAGTCAGAGGCAGAATCCAGGTGGGAAGAAACAGGAGGATAGCCAGGGGGACAAGGAGCGGAAACCTAGAAAGATACCAGGAGGTCTGGGGTCCAAGCATAGTGCACCCCGGCCCCCACCACATACAGTGTGGAGGGAGCTTGGCTGGGCGCTGGAATGCTCAGGGGACTCTCTTCCAAACACTGGGCACCCACTTTCTCTTTAAAGCTGTTGCGGACCAGCGCCCCATCAACTACTGCACAAGTGGACTCCATGACTGTGACATACCCCAGCGTGCCCAGTGTATCTACACCGGAGGCTCCTCCTACACCTGCTCCTGTTTGCCGGGCTTCTCTGGGGATGGCCGAGCCTGCCGCGGTGCGTAGTTGCTCTGAAGTTTCTTTCTGTTTAACCTGAAAAAATTCCCCTGTTAATTAGTTACCCCTGAATTTAAGAGAAAAGCATTCTCTCAACTCTGTTGGGGGAATAGGCTGTATTTCTTATCTCTCTAGTAATTTGAACATTGCATTTTCTTTGGGGGACTAGTCTTAACTGGGAGAAACACTTGGTTCCCCATACTATTATTTTATTCTATGTGACTTGCTCATTTAGGTGACAATTAGACCCCTATTATCTGCAGGAGCTGGGAGATTATTTGCCTTTCATTAAACGACAATCTTTGCTTACATGGCGCTTACTATGGAGCGTTTGATTAAGAGATACAGATATATATATATATATATATATATATATATATATATATATAAAATCATCACTTGGTCTGCACTATATATATCTATATCAGATATAGATATATATAGTCATCAACATATATAATGTTCTGCTTCAAAAAAAAGTGAGGTCCCTTATTGAATAAAGACTGCAAGGGCAGAGAGTAACTCACTCCACAGAATTCTTGCAGACCTGAGATCAACCAGAGTTACTCTTAAAGATAACTTTAGTAAGATAACTGTGAACATAGCACCCCAGTCCCTTGATTTACAAAATTACTTAACATCATATCATAGGGTATTTTTGAAAGGTCCAAGCTTTTTGAAGATAAATTATAATTTCTGAGATTTTTTTTTCTCCATTGTTGAACATATGGATTTTCTCTTGTCACTGCAAAGCAGTTAATAATCAGACTCCAAATTCTCAGACATATTCAAAGCCTCAGTTATTGCAAGAAGGATCATTTTATAATGCAAAAGAATTCTCTGTTTTCTTTTTGCAAGCTTAATTGTTCATGAACACATCATCAAAGTGAAATATAGCTGTAATGCACTAGATAGAAATCAGGAAGTCAGGGGGTTGGTAATTAATGTTTAGTGAGTTCTCAGTCACTCTTCCAAGATCAGAAACAGGGTCCCACATCGAGCAAGTAGTTTAAATTACTCTCTAAACTGTGAAGTCCAGCAGTAACCTCACTGTCCCGGGGTGTGCTGGCTATTTTGCAGATGTGGATGAATGCCAGTCAAGCCGATGTCACCCCGATGCTGTCTGCTACAATACCCCAGGCTCCTTCACGTGCCAGTGCAAACCTGGTTATCAGGGAGATGGCTTCCATTGTGTGCCTGGAGGTAAGATGTCTGGGGCACATTTGGAGTTGGTAGGCCATTGTGAGTGCTAAGTGCATGGCCTTGGGATGGGGGGCTGGTGGGCGGGGGAATGGGAGGCTCTGTAGAGTGCCCGAGGGGTTGATGATGTGGGAGGTCAGAATGTGAGCTGCAGGAGAGAGCCCTGCAGGCTGTGCACTAGTCCCGGGGTGCCACACACAAACATAACTCAACTCAACTGGTCCGTGCTTGTCCGAGTACTCCAGAGAGACAGAACTAACTGGACACACACACACACACACACACACACACACACACATGCACACACACAAAGATATAAAGAATTGGTTGCTCATACAGTTATAAAGGTGAGTCTGTATTCTCCAGAAAAGCAGAACTAGTAGGATGTGCATGTGTGTGTATAGAGATGTATGTGTAAATACATATGTACGTATGCATGCATGTGTATATATACATATGTGTGTAGATACATATATATGAGATTTATTATAAGGAATTGGCTCACACAATTATCAAGGCTGACAAGTCCTACATTCTCCACTTAACACATAGGAGACCCAGGAGAGTCAATGGAAAGAAAAAATCTCAGATGAGGAAGGAAGGATTCTCTCTTACTGGGGGAAGGGTCACCTTTTTGTTGTATTCTGAACTTCCACTGATTGGATGAGCCTCACTCCCATTAAGAAAGGCAATCTGCTTTAATCAGTATATGGAGTTAAGGTTAGTTTCATCTAAAATTCCCTCACACAGGGCCTCCCTGGTGGCGCAAGGGGTTAGGCACTGCACTGTGAAGCTGTCCGCAGCCTCTGCAGCACAGGTTTGATCCCCAGCCAGGGAGATACCCACATGGCACAACAGACCTCTCTTGTCTCTCCCGCTGCTTCCCTCAGCAGTGTTTTCAGTCAATCTGCCTGTTCTGCTCCCCACTCTGTCTCTGGTGAATTCTCTCACCCTCCTGCACCTTTGGCCTGTACCCCGGTTCTTGTATGCATAAATAAATAAATCTTTAAAAAAATAAAAATAAAATTCCCTCACAGAAACATCCAGAATAATATTTGACCAAGTATCTGTGGCCCCATCAAGCTGACACATAAAATTAACCATCACACATTCCTAGAAATCATGTGTAATAGAGTAGGTAATAGAGCTAGGGTGGGTATGGGGAGAGAGGGGTGAAAGGACAAGAATTAGAGGAATGTGCAGGCTGATGACTGCACTAATTGTCCAGATTGCTATTATACAAGCACTGACTTAGTAGCATATTGTTAGATCATAAGGTTAATAACAGTTCTAAATCAATACCTGAAATTAGTTTGGGTACTTATTAAGTACTCAAAAAATGCTGTTGAATGAATGAGTATAACTGGCTGCCATTTGTGTGGAAGCTACTAGAGCTATCTTTACCTACACTATCTCATGTTGTGTATGTAACTATCTTTTTACATAGAAGGTGCTAAAACTTAAAAAGATAAAGATACAAAGTCCTATAGGTACTAGAACTGCAACTCAAACCAAGGACTGTCTGATAGACTCCAACCTGGATTCAGCCCTTTAAAACACCAGTCATGAGATTAAGAGAGTTTGACATCTAGGACTGGAGTTAGCCTGTTAATGCTACTTATTTTTAATTACTGGTGTCATTGTTGGCCACTATATATATTTATGCCACCATAAATATTTCAGTAAGAAGTAAGAGGAGGGTTTCCCTGGTGGCGCAAGGGGTTAGCACAGTGCTGTGAAGCTGTCCACAGCCTCTGAAGCGTGAGTTCTATTCCCAGCCTGCCAGGGAGCTGCCCACATGGCACAGCAGGCCTCTTCTGTCTCTCCTGCTCCTCCCCTCAGCATTGTATTTCAGTCAATCTGCCTGTTCTGTTCCCTGCACTGTCTCTGGTGAATCCTCTCATCCCCTGCACCTCTGGCCTGTACCCCAGTTCTTGTATGCATAGATGAATAAATCTTAAAAAAAAAAAAAAGAGGTAAGAGGAAATTTGCATTCCACCACTTTTTAAAGCAATTAATAACTGTTTCAATGTTCCCTTCACTGGCCTGTGAGTGCCTTGTGGAGAAGGGCCACATGCATTTTATCATTGTGTCCCCAGTATCCAGAGGAGTATGTGGCCCATAGTAGGGCCCACAGCTACTTGTATTATTGAGGAAATAGATTTATGAATGAACGGGTTTTTACTCCTACCCACCATATATAAAAATATTTATCTACACTCTCAGCAGGACTGCATATGCCCAGTTTTTAGGATAGTTATCCATCTAAATGGAGAAAAAATAACAGATTAAGGTTTTGATATATGATACTCTGTTTTCTTGTGCTTAGAACAGGGGTTAGCAAACTACATCTCACAGGCCAAATCTGGCCCACCACCCATTTTTGTAGGTCAAGTTTTATTGGAACACAATGGCACTCCCTAGGTTAAGGTTCACAGTCTATAGTTTATATAGCTGCTTTCATTCCACAAAGGCAGAGGTCAGTAGTTGTAGCAGAGACTCTCAAGCTCGCAAAACGTAAAATATATACCTCCTGGCCTGTGACAGAAAAAGTTTGCCCACCCCCAGCCTAGATGAATCCAGCCTGGTCCAACATTTTGTTGCTGAATTCATGGGTAAGTCCTGTAGTGCTGCCCATAGATTTGAATAAGCAAATAATAATAATAAAAAAAAAAGTTCATGGTAATTTGAGTTAAGATATTCAGCAGCTATTAAAAATGACTGCTTATTATTTTGCGTCTCACTTCATATCTCTAGTTCAAAAAGAAGCAACGTTTCATTTTTGGTGGTTTTTTCTTAACCTGACTCCTTGACCCCTCTGTAAGACTCTGTTGACTAAACAGAAACAAATTCAGACCTGTAGGCTGAGTTATGAAGATGAGACAAGGATAAAACCAGTAAGAGTTATGTAGTTAATCCTGTTCCCTTAAGAAATTCAACATGTAGTTATATGCCCCAGAGAAAGTGTGCACTAGAATTATATAAGATTGCTCACTGAGCATTATTTGTAACAAAAAATTCTGAAGGACCATCCATAGGAGGAAAATTTCTGAAGGACCATCTGTACAAATGGACAGGTGTATTTTGTACAATTCATACAGTGGAGTAATACACAGTTAAAATGAGTGAACTAGAGTTAATGAATGAATCTCAAAAACGTGCTGAGTAGGGCCTTCCCTAGTGGCTCAGGTGGTTGAGCGCCGCTCTGTGAAGCTGTCTGTGGCCTCTGCAGCGCCGGTTTGATCCCAGCCGTCCAGCGAGGGTCCCACATGGTGCAGCAGACCTCTTCTGTAGCACCCGCTGCTCCCCTCAGCAGTGTATTTCGTCAGTCTGCCTGTTCTGTTCCCTGCTGTCTCTGGTGAATCCTCTCACCCTCCTGTGCATCTGGCCTGTACCCCCACTCTTTTGTAAATAAATAAATAAATCTTAAAAAAAAAATGCTGAGCAAAAAAAAAAAAAGTTACAGCAGGATATTTGCAGGCTGCTGCCATTTAAAATATAACCGTATATAAAAATTAGCCTACATATTTGCATACATATGTAAGAAAATTATAAATGCATGCATGGGAATGAGAAACAAAAACTTCAGCATAAAGATTACCTCTGGGGTGGCAGAGAGGGTGTGGGTGCTGGGGAGGACCACACAAGGGCTGCATTGTATTTCTATTATCTTCTTTATCAGCTGGATAAACTATAAAATAGGAACACAGTTTTTCATCATATTTTTTTAAATTTTGTATGACTAAACTACCTAGCAGCAAGGGGCCCTAGAAATTCTTTAATTCGTGTCCTTTGTTTTATAAATAAAGATCATGAGACTTGGGTCATTTCTTACTTTTAGAATAAGGTTTCTTGAACTCTTCCTATAAAGGAATTTTCTGTAGCAACTTTTCTCAAAATTGAGTAAGACCCTTTTTAAAAGAAAAACATTTGTAAAGCCTTCAGTGTTGGTTTAGGTTATTTTTATTATAGATAAATCTAGGTATCACCTTTTCTAACACTAAAAGCAAAACACATTCACAAATTAAATACAAACAAAATTAGAAACAATGCATTTCTGGGGCCTCTCTGGTGGCGCAAGGGGTTAAGATGCAACCTATGAAGTTATCAGCAGCCACTGCAGCAGGACTTCGATCCCCAACCAGGGAGCAACCCACATGGCGCAGCAGACCTTTTCTGTCTCACCCGCTGCTCCCTTCAGCAGTGTATTTCAGTCAGTCGCCTGTTCTGTTCCCTGTTCTGTGTCTTGTCAATCCTCTCACTGCACCCCCCCACACCTCTGGCCTGTACCCCAGTCCTTGTGTACATAAAAGAAAAGAAACAATGCATTTCCACTCAACCTTAATTTTATGTACCAGATTGTGGTTTGTCTGATATGAAACTGCTATTCTTGCAGTGTCCTCCCTCAACTCAGTGGGCTCCCTGTCCATCTCTATTGGATAATTCCAGACAGCCTGCAGAGAATCTGTGATATTTCTTAACTAAAAGACAAACAAGAATGAAATCCTCCCTTGACCCTGTTCGCCTTTCTCACCGACATCTCATTTTCTTCCTCCCTTTTATAGTTTTACTCATAAGGGTTATCTGGCTTTGCGCCTTCTATGTTCTCTTCTCCATCTTTTTCTCCCCCCCTTACCTTTTTATTGTAAAATAAAACAGATACAAGAAGTCATTGAGAACAAATGTATGATGCAAGGAATCATTCTAAGGTGAACCCCTCTGTAACTATGACCCAAGTCAAAAGGTAGAACTTTAACAGAGCAAACTCCCTACCCCTGCCAGTCCAGGTGCTTTGTTCCAGTTACAACAACCTCCTACCTTTTCCCAAAAGTAATCACCAACTTGACTTTTATAATATCAAATTGCATTTCTTTATAGTTTATCACACGTGCATTCCTAGACACTGTCGGTTCAGCTTTGCTCACTTGTGTGCCTATAAGTCCTTCTTTCATTCATTCTTTCCCTTGCAGCTTTTCTATTGAAGAACCTAAGACTTTTGACCTGTTGAGTTTTCCCTTGGTCTTTGGAGATACTGCAATCATGTGGCTTAGGTTTTGAACAGGAGTTAGGGGGGAATAAAAGTGAAGAGAAGGTGGTCACTTTCCCTGCAGTGCCCAGTGACCACCACCTCCATGCCTTGCAGATGGCATATGGTCTCATTTCCAAATCCACTTAGTCACTGCCAAACCTTGTGACTGCTCCATCCCTTTTTATTCTGGAAGTCCTCATTAACCAAACCCCAGGGAGTATCAGGTTACCTGCCCTCACCAAATCCTGAATTTCTGGACTTCCTATCCTTCCTACACTCAAGCCTGAAAACCTCCAGCCTTAAGTCAGTCAACCCTATACACAGGCCTCTGTCCCAATCCCTCAGCTCTTCAGATTAGGGACACCTTGGTGTCAGGTAAACCCTTGACTGAGGAGGATTGGGCAGAGCCCCTCTCTGCTCCAGGAGTAGCTTGTGCAGACTGTTATTTTGACAGGCCCATTATCTCTCAGGGCCATCCTACTTAGCTCTGATCTCTACCACAGGCCAGGCACCTGACTCCTGCAGATTTCAGTAAATGTTGGTGACATAATGCATAAATGACTTGAGGAACTGTGGGTTCCTGGTCTTAGAAATATAACAAATAAGGTGATTTTTAAAAGCTTACGCTAGTCCAGAAGAGGATGGATGCAGGGAGGTGTTCCAGGAGACAGGCACAAGCAAAATTCTAAGGTGCTGTTTCGCACAATGAGAGGATGTGGGCCGGTGAGAAGGCACAGGGACGGGAAGTGAGTTCTCTCTTTTCTGCTGTTTTGTGACCTTTCTGCTTTCCCTTCCCTTATCCCTTTCTGGTTGCTAGTTCATGTCCCCTCCCTAGGCATTCTCCTTCCTCGCCAGTCCTGTATGGATTGGAGCAAATTGTGCAGGAGTCTGTATAAATAGTGCCCCCCAAACTAGTACCTTCACCCCATAAAATAGAGCAGAAGCTACAGGTTATTTGTTTGAATTCACACAAGCAACAAATTTAGTTAGGCAAAGGAATGGAATGCAAATCAAAAGATAAAAAATTGTGCTTCCTTCTTATTTCCCTTTCTAGTTTGTTTTTCTCTCATTCTCTTTGTCTCCAACCTCAAAAAAAGTTACCCTAGGACTTCCTACTGTTCCAGAGAAGTAGCAGATCTTGAATGTTTCCTGCTCAGAGCAGATCAAACTAGATAAGTAAAAAGAAGCTTACCTAAGTTATCATTTTATCAACCAGAAACAAGGTCAGGAAATAGGTCTTTAGACTCTATCCCCTCCATTCCCACCAGGCTTTTAATGGAAAATTCCCCTTGGGGGTTCTCAGCAGGGGGTTCCCACTGCTATTAGGCTGAGAAGTCATCCCAGGAAACCCGGTGACTGTCCTAGCTTCTCATAACACACTTGAAATACAATTTCCTGAGTTACAATTGATGTTTTTCCTTTTTTTTTTTTTTTTTTTTTGGTTCAAGATACTGCACTGAAGAGTTTCACAGCAAATTCTAGATCACACTTGAGATTTCACATGTTGGCTAAACGCCCTGTCAGCAGAAACCCCTGTCAGCTATGTAAATGAAGCAACCCCTACTCCCTGTAACATTTGGTTTGGTTAACATTGTACAGAACACCAGGCCTATTGCCTAATTGGAAAGAGCAGTGTATATGAGTGTTGATGCAAAGAAAATGAGTCCGTGGGCCACAGAGAATTCCCAATTCACAGGGAATATGAGCCTGCATCTATCCCTGTTGATACAACATGTTCAGTGTGTGTGAGCTGTCCTGAGACTGGGCATGTGGGTGCAGAGGCAGGGCACTAGGAAGCCAAAGATCCAGGTTCTAACTTGAACTGATCTACTTACTAGTGGTGTAGGAGAACCCCTCAGCCAATCTGAGCTTCAGTGTCTCATTTGTTATAAAAAGCAGAATTGCGTATTGCACAGGATTACAGGAGCAATTAAATGAAATGTATGGATGAATGGAGACATACTATTTGGGAATCCTTTAAGATATTTAGGAAGTAAACAACTTCTACATTCAAGGAAGAATGAATACTAGTATTTTTATTCTCAACCAGATGGCTTATTTGTATCTTTCTTTGGCTCTTCCTACATCAAATATGTTTTGTTTTATATTAGCCAGGTTCAACAAACACTTTTCTGGCATGCTAACTGCTTATAATAAAGGAAGCAACTACCTTAAACAGGCTAACGTGAGAATTGGCAAATAGGCAAAAGGCACTTTGAACAGTTATGGGCAACACGCGCACTAAAGTCACTGTAAAGTCCTGGTATAGACAGTCACAAATGAACATCTGAGCATTAAATTTGAAATTCCACCTGTACTCATTATTTGTCACTTTCCATTTGTCAGAATAAGACTGAGATTAGTTATCGCTGCTACTGCTGTTCTATTGCTGAGGGGAGTACAACTTATTCAGCTTTGTTGACCCACCTGACATAACGCCAGTGGTAGAATTAGAATCAAGAAATATTTTTGACCAGAAATTCTGTGAAATTGATCATTTATCATCCTACACTTTTATTATACCATGCCTAATTAAATATTATTTAGTAACTCATATTAATATAATAACCAGCATATAAATTTTTTCCAAAATGTCATTGCCCTCCAGCAGGGGTTGGTGACTGTAGTCCCCCCGACCAAATATGGCCCACTGTCTGCTATTATAAATAAAGTTTTATTGGAACACTCATTTATATATTAAGCTTTGTTGCTTTCATGCCACAACCACAGGATGGAGCAGCTGCGACAGAGACCATATGGCCCACAAAGTAGAAAATATTTATTCTTTGTCCCATCACAGGAAGAGTGGGGTAGAACCCTGCCCTGGACCTATACACTCACAATCTTCCAGATATCACCAAAAACACTCTCCAAGCCTTATGGAGAGGATCTCTTCTGTGTATCTGTTGTATCCTGGGATCTGATGTCAACACACTTACTTGCAGGATTATAACCATGTTCCCTTTCCTCCAGACAGTGAACTCCTTGGTGGCTGCCCTGTGTGTCATTCCCAAGGGTATCCCCATTCCAGCCTAGTAGTTGCTTTCTGAGTCAAGGTTAAGGAGATGAATCATATGCTGCCTAATCACAGCCTAGAATCTGCTCAGGAAGACATAAGACAAGGAACAGCCCCTTAGCATCTTCACATCAGTGTGATGAGAGCTACAGCATAGGATAGCCCAAGTGCCCTGGAAGCTCATGGAGGGGCACTGGTCCCAGCCATGGAGGGCCCAGGGCTTCTTGAAGGAAGTATATGCCTGAGCTGGTTTTGAAGGATTAATTGGGATATGAACAGCACGTAAAAGGCCTGGAAGAGAGAAGTAGCGACATGGTTCAGTTTGACTGAAGTGTAACTCCCAGCAGTCAGTGTTGTTCCCACATTGTCAGGGCATTGCTTTGTGTGAAAATACCACAGAGGTGTGTCAATGCTAGTGTGGCCCCCATGATGGCTGGGCTCAATTAACATTGACCTGTACAATAGAATATTATTTAGCCATGAAAAGGAATGAAGTACTATGGACATGCTACAACATGGATGAAACATGATTTATAATAACCAAGAGCTGGAAACAACCTAAATGCCCTTCAACAAGATGATTAGATAAAGATGTAATATGCATACATAATAGAATATTACTCAGCTATAAAAAAAAAAAGATTAAATCCTGCCATTTGTAACAACATGGATGGATCTAGAGGGTATTATGCTAAGTGAAATAAGACAGACAGAGAAAGACAAACTGTATGATTTCACTCAGGGGGGGTTATAGAGAAACCAAATAAATAGCTGAACTAAGTAAAATGAAAATGAATTTTTAGACTGTAAGACCAATTAGCAGTTACCAGAAAAGAAGAAGAGAGGAATGTGGGTAAATTGAGTAAAATGGGTCACCTGTATGGTGAAGGATAGAATTGGACTTTTAGAAGTGAACTTAATGTAATCTATATAGATGCTGATGCTTAATGATGCACAGCTGAGACCTATATAATGTCTTAACACTGCATCCAACGTTACTTCAATAAGAATTTTGTAAAACTAAATTAAAAAAAGAAAGCAGGCAGACACACGAGGTTACATGCTGCCTGTTATATGATTCCATTTATATGAAATGTCCATAAGAGGTAAAGCCAAAGAGACAGATGCATACCGGGGGTTGCCAGGGCTGGTAGAGGGGAAGTGAAGAGCACTGCTTAATAGATATGGGGTTTCCTTTTGGGGAAAATGTGTTGGAATTAGATAGAGGTGCTGGTCACACAGTGTTGTGACTACCAAATGCCACGGAAATACACATTTTAAAAACGGTTCCCTTTTTATGTCAATTTTGCCTCTATTTTTCCAAACTGGGGGAAAAGGGCCTAGGAGAGAAAAGAAAATGTAAATATAATCTTCTTGAAAATTAAATCCATTAAATAATGATGTTTCACATTTTTAAAGATTAATTACAGAAAACCCAGTGACCAACAGCAGCTCTTGTGCTTCCGAGTCAGGTAGGGACTTCCGCAGCCACAGCCACCCAACACCGACTGCCCATACAGCTGACTGTCTCTCCCTTGCTTGTCTCTCTGTAGAAGTGGAGAAAACCCGATGCCAGCATGAGCGAGAACACATCCTTGGGGCGCCAGGAGCGGCAGATCCACAGCGGCCCCTGCGGCCAGGGCTGTTTGTCCCCGAGTGTGACGAGCACGGGCACTATGTGCCCACCCAGTGCCACAGCAGCACTGGCTACTGCTGGTGCGTGGATCGTGATGGCCGCGAGGTGGAGGGCACCAGGACCAGGCCCGGCATGAGGCCCCCCTGTAAGTTGGAGGGCACTGACCTTGGAGACTTGTGCCTAGGACCAGAACTCCCAGCGCTCATGAACAACGCTGTGGGGCCTTTGCTGAGGATGCAGTTGGGGCTTTCACCTGCCCTGCCTGCTGAGCCCTCCATTCATGGAACCCCATTCCCTCCCTCCGTTCCTTTCTCTGCTCTGTACCCATCTTTTTTACCTCCCTTGTCATTCACCCCACTCTGCTCATTCTCTCTTTTCAAAATGCCCTTTGATTGAGGTATTTCTGCTCCTCGTGCTCAGATATAAAATGGGCTTTGTGAGTAACTGTGCAGTTTGTGGTGCTATGAGAGCAATGTGACCTGGTGTGTGTGTGTGTGTGTGTGTGTGTGTGTGTGTGTGTGTGTGTGTGTGCGTGTGCATGCATGCACGCACGCGTTCCTGCATGTGCATTCTGACTGCACACAAGCCTCATTCATTGACATCTGCCTCCCAGGTCTGAGCACAGTGGCTCCCCCAGTTCACCTAGGACCCTCAGTTCCTACTGCCGTGATTCCCCTGCCACCTGGAACCCACTTGCTCTTTGCCCAGACTGGCAAGATAGAGCATCTCCCCTTGGAGGGAAGCACCATGAAGAAGACAGAAGCCAAGACATTGCTCCACGTCCCGGTGAGTGTGGCCTTCTTGCACTCAGTGACAACTTCTGCTTTAGTGTCACAGTGAGACCAGGGACCAGGGCTCGACCCCTGACTCAGGAGCCTCTTCATTCTATGTGACCCGGGTGTCCATCTCTGATGGGGCTACTGTGTTCCTGAGTTGCCCATTTGGCACAAGGGGGACAGAGAACAGAATGTCATTTTGGTATCAGATCCCTTTGGTGGTAAGTTTCATACCTTGTCTGAATGTGTCTGCTGGGTGTGATCTTGTCATGCCTGCTAGAATAGGAAAGAGACTCACCTTTTAGCAGCCCCTCAACCCAAGACCCTCATACCTGCCTGGAGGCAGCAAAAGTTTTGACTTAGAGCTTTTCAAAGCTTCAAAGATGCATTTAGTGAGTTTGGAATTTTTGTCCATTAGATGGAAATTGGACACTTCTGAAAAATAATTGTTTTTTCTGCCATCCCCAACTCTGCCAGAAGCCAAGGGTGAGAGCTGGACTGCACCTTCTCTATCATTTTTACTGTTTCAGTTATCTTTCAAGTGTACAGGTCATGGTATCAAATACATTCAACTCCCTCCTCCCCAGCCCTTGACAACCACCATTCTACTTTCTATTTCTATAATTTTTTTTTTCTATTGTCAACTAAGTGGAGCCAGAAAGTAATTGCTCTTTGGTGACTGACTTCCTTCACTTAGCATGATGTCTTCAGTTTCAGATTTTCTTCCATATTATAGGATGTGTCAGAATTCTCTTCCTTTTTAGACTGCAATATACTCCATCATCTGTACACATCGCATTTTTACTCATTAATTCATCCATCAAGGACTCATGGGTTGCATCTACTTTTGGGCTATTGTGAATAATGCTGCTATGAACACGGGTGCACACCTGTCTAAGTTCCTGCTTTCACTCCTTTTCTATGTAGATCAGATATAGAATTGCTAAATCATATGGTAACTATTTTTAATATTTTGAGAAACCACCGTACTGTTTTCCTTAGTGATTGCACCATTTTACATTCCCACCAACAGCGCACAAGGATTCTAATTTCTCCATATCCTTGCCACCACTTGTTATTTTCTGTCTCATGTCCGTCTTAATGAGTGGCACCTCATTGTGGTTTTGGTTTGCAATTCTCTAATGATTAGTGATGTTAGCATCTTCCTATGTGCTGAAGGACCACTTATATATCTTTTTTGGGAAAATAACATTTCCTGCTAAATACTCATCCATTGTATATTTTTTAATTTAGTTGAGTTGTTATTTAGTTGTAGGGGTTCTTTATATTTTTAGATAGAATACTTATCAGATATATGATTTCTCTCCTTCCGATTGCCTTTTCACTCTGTTGAATGTGTCCTTCTATGCACAAAAGTATTTTATTTTGCTAAATCTCACTTTATCTATAGTTGCTTTTGATGTCATGTCCAAAAACCATTTTCAAATCCAGTGTTATGAAGTTCTCCTTATGTTTTTTTCTAAGAGTTTTATGACTTTAGCTTTTCCATTTTGGTCTCTGATTTTGGGGGGAGGAGGAGTTTATTTTTGTATATAGCAAAAGGTAAAGATCCCTTTTGACCTGACCTCTCGAGTGGAAATGTCTGCTGTTAACCTTGACTTTCCCAGTTAAAAATCCTTGTCCTCCACTTTTATGCACTTTGCATTTACCTATACTTTTTAGTAGCCTTCCCCCATCCCCTGCCAAAAAAAGAAAAGCCTGCTGAGATTTTGATAAAGATGGCATTGAATATAACTTTGTTTAGGGATAACTGATATATTAGTAGTGTTAAATATAATCCATCAAACTAATTTATCTCTTCATCTATTTGAATTTTCTTTAATTTTACTCTACAATGTTTTGTATTCAATGTAGAATCTTGTACTTTTAAGAGTACTCACAAATACTTTGTTTTTACATTTTTATAAGCACTATTGTTTTAAATTTTCTTTTTTGCTGGCTGTAGAAATATAATTTTATATTAACCTTGTAACCTGCAACATTGATAAGTTCAATTATTAGTTATAATAGTTTCATAGGTTCCTCAGGATTTTATATATAATCAGTCATACCATCTTAGTTTAGAGTGGTTTTATCTCTTCCTTTCTATTATTTATGTCTTTTATTTCTTATGCTCTTTAGGTTGGCAAAGATTTCTTAGACAATATACAAAATGAATTAGCCATAAGGGAAAAAATAATAAATTGGACTTAATAAAAATTACAAACTTTTGCTCTTCAAACATATCATTAAGTGAAAAGGCAAGCTAGCTACTGAGAATAAATATACATAAACATACACACATGCACACACATTTATATATGACAAAAGATTTTTCCTGCACTATTAAGTGTCTCATAACTCAATAATAAAAACTTTGAAATGAGCCAATGACTGAAAATACTTCATTAAAAAGATAGCACTGCCAGTAATAAGCACATGATGGATTCCCACCATATTAGTCACCCAGATGCTAGTGGGTGAACCACTCTCAACTCTGTTCTGCACTTCCAGGATAAAGTCATCATTGGACTGGCCTTCGACTGTGTGGATAAGATGGTTTACTGGACTGATATCAGTGAGCCTTCCATTGGGAGAGCCAGCCTGCATGGTGGAGAGCCAAGCACGATCATTCGACAAGGTAGCCAAATAAATGTCTTCATTTTTTTTTTTTCTTTCTTGCAGCCCAAGTGGCTCTTCGGAGAGAGTATCATTGCTTACAAGGTGTGGTGATATGGGAGGGACTGAGTTTCAAACTCCACCCTTTCTAGCCTCCTCTGAAGAGTCCTCCAAAAACGCATTTAATCATGAACGCCTCAGCTGGGATTTTTGCTAGCCCTTGAGGAATAAAATCAAAACTGGGTACTTGTCCGTGCCTTTTTCTCAAAGCTTATGTAGCCAGTCTTAATGAACAATAAAGGCCAATAAAGGCCAAACTCACCATCCAATTTGGATATACATTTCTCCTGCTAGGCCTAGAGTCATTTCTCAGAGTGCTTGCTCTCCTGTATATGTCCATTAGAGTTTTCCCAAAGGCAACAGGCAGATGAATGATAAAGTTGGGAGGGTCATAAACATATTTCCAAATATTATCCCTCATGGTTGAGTCTATTCCGAAGATAGTTTTCAGGTTAAAGAGTTTTCATATCAACCTATAACATCGTGGTGGGGGATGGGTCCTCTTTTCTACCTCACCCCCACTGGCACAGAGGAGCACATCAAATCTGGACAAACTTTTACAGATAGTTCTATTTTTTTTGTTGTTGTATTACTGATGATAAAGTGCATTATGCTTTGGCACAGCTTACTCCTGACTATTTAACTTAAATTCCTTAATTTATGAATGCCGGTGTAAGCCGAGAACTCTATGCATTGCTTCAATGCCTACCTTCCATCAGTGAAGACTGTTTTATGTAGGTATGTTTTAACCAGGTTAAAGACCATTACAATAAAAATCCAAGACCTATAAAAATTCCCCTGTACTGAAAAGTTCAGTTAGTACATGTTGCTAAATCATTGACTCATCAGCTGACTTGAGAATATTTTCACGCGTAAGACATTATCATGCTGATATTTGCTGTGTAAAATCATTCTTGCTTCCTCTGCAAAACATTCAAATCAGGGTTCCACCTTTAAAATATGACCCTCATTTGGCATTTCCTTTTACTGGAGGCTGAATGCAGCTTTTGAATTTGCCAATTTAATGTTTTTCTAACCATTGATATTCCAGAATGTTCTCTGTGCTCTCCTGAGACATATTTTTTTCCTTCCTTGGCTCCTTCAGAAGAGATGATGCAGCAGGAATTAAGCTGGGTTGAGTTAAATATGTCTGCCTTTGGACTTACACCCTGAATCCTTTCTGGAAGAAGATGTACTGTTTAAAGTCTGCTAGTTTTCATAATTTGGCTTAGTGAATAGAAGTTTGATAATGTTTTTGCATCTTATCTTTATTAAAAATGTTGTTGCTATTATCTATGATTTCACTTCAAAACCCAGTGGAAGGGAGGAGAGGTCATTGTTTGCTATTTCCTGTTTTATTTTTTATTTATGTATTTATTTTTTTTGTAGCTGATAATCATCCAAGAGAACTTTAAGCACAGTAAGAGTCCAGGCAAAAGTCCACTGTGAAAAGCACAGAATTAAACCAGAATGTGGTTTCTGTAGAAGAAAAATTAGAAAGAAGCTTCCACTGCAATCACCATGGACCATGATTATGCACCTCCAGGGAGTGAAGTGGCAGTGGGTGTCTCCCAACCCCCACCCCCATTTCATCCAGTCCGAATCCTGGGCTTTTCTTTCTTCCTTTGACCTTTTTCTTTTCTTCCTTTCCATACCTTTTTTTGGCATTTGTAGCCCATTAAGAATTATTTTCCTGTTTGGAAAAGGAGGCTTGGTGGATCTCGGGTTTAAAGACAGGGCCAAGCCTTCTTATAAGGACACACCATCACACAGTGTTCTCCAGGGTTCCTCTGGGTTGTAAAGACTCACAAAAAAGCCTCCTCCCTTCATCCCTCTTTTCTCTCTTTCTCTCTCTCTGTTTGTTTTTCCCTGGCTCAAAGTCATTCACACAGGATGTGCTCATTTCAAATATACCCCAAAAAGATTTTTTCTGGCTTTGTCTGAAAGTCAAAACGGAACTTTGGAGGTCAGTATTGCTGTCCCTTTGCCTCTGGGGATGTGGGAAATATTTTAATATTTCATAACTCTCTACTTTGAGTTGGAATCATAAAGACCTTGTTCAACTGCTGTTTGTAATGCTTAATAAACCTCTTCCAGTGAGGTCCTCTCAGGGGATCTTGGCTTTTCCAGCATCCACAGTCACAATTATGTTGGGAATCTAACCTCAGGAATCCACATATGATACAATGTAATCTGAATGACAAAATAACATAAGGTTGGGATTATTTCCTGATACCTGGGATTGCTCATATGGGGTAGTTTCAACCTCCACTTCTCCTTCCTGCTATCACTTCCCATCATACTAAATGACCCTTGATTCTCAGATCAGTAGATGGGGAGAGAATCCTTTGTGACAACGGTAAAACTCAGAGCGTCGATTTTAGTTTCATCAGGAAACCACTGCAATCTCTTTTGATGAGGTTAAATGGGTATCAATAGGGATGGATGATATCGAAGGTTCACCTGGTTGCCTTGTGTCGGTATCTAGCTTGAAGATCAATAATCAATCACTTTCACCCCTTCTCTGTACACAAAATACTTGTATAAAAGTAATAGCAGCCATGACTTCTTGAATACATTAAGTCTCTGAAATGACCTTTTATCCATCAGTAACTAACAAATAAGTTAAATTTCTTTGTTCCATTTCCCATCTTAGTATCTTCCTATGCCTCCCCTTGGCCTGTGGGATAAGATCTAAGCTCATTAACATGGACATCCATATTTCTTCTCTGGCCAGTCCCTGAGGTCTGTCGTCAGACAAAATTACATAAGCCATGCCCAGTCTTCCTTTATGTCTATGTGCTGGTCGTACTATCTGGAATATTCTTATCTAAGATCTTTGCCTGGCAGACTCACGGGTCCTTCAGGAACCAGCTTCATGAGGTGTCACCTCCTCGGAAATCCTCCTCAAAGGTTGAATGCAGAGTCCCTACTATGCTCCCACAGAACCAGAACTCAGTCTTAATTGTGCATGGCTGTGGGATCCTGAAGGCAGGGCCACAGCTTGGTATCATATGAGCCTGGTTCTCAATGTCATGCACAGGGTAGATGTCTATTAAGCATCTTTTAATCTATCATTTTGAGTGTCATTTACCTTATAAACAAGCATTTCACCTTTCCATTTGTTTTCTCGAATCTAATCAGCTTAAGAAAACCAGAAGTATTCTCTGTTTGCATCTAGATCTTGGAAGCCCAGAAGGCATTGCCCTTGACCATCTTGGCCGCAACATATTCTGGACAGATTCTCGTATGAATCGAATAGAAGTGGCAAAGCTGGATGGCACCCAGCGCCGGGTGCTGTTTGAGACAGATTTGGTGAATCCCAGAGGCATCGTAACAGACTCCATAGGAGGGTAACTTTATGTAAATCTGTGTGTACATCTATTCTTTGGCACCTGCCCATTCGAATATTTTCAAAAGTTAGACTCTCATTCCAGCATCACCTTCCTAAAATATGTGAGAACAGAGTGAACGAGTCTACAGTTGTTGGTGAAATGCCAGAACGTATATTCCGATCCCTTGTGGTCATGGACTCAATACTATATTCTACTTTCAAATCTTTTATCAAGACACTGTAAGCTAACAGGTCAGAAATTGGGTGTTTGCATTTGGGTTGAATGTGGGTCAACTCCCAAGTTGTATCAACCCCAGAAGGATATCCAGGTAGCATAAAAACCCTGGAAGAGTATCAGGGTGGTGTACATGTACCCCTGGGGCTCAGTCCAAGGGCTGACCCAGTGTGAGCATTTTAGAGACAAGATCTTCCTGGAGGGCTTTGTCAATACTTCAGTGCTTTCCTCTGTCTTTCCCCTTACTGCCAGTTCTAAATCTTAAACACCAGCTTCTCAATTCCTTGACACCTCGATGCCTTCTTTTTGAGATAGCATCCCTTGTTCTGTGGCCAACTGGCCACCTTCCCCTGGGCCTTGACCCTGCCCTGCACACTGACAACCCTGGAATTTCCATGTGCTTATGTCAGATACGATGTTTCGTTGTGTCTTTTTGAGATGTACGCTGTACATGAGTAACAGAATAATCCAATTCTGGTGAAAAACCAAAGTGTTTTGGCAAAGGAAAATGTATTTTATCATATCCAGATCCTCTTAACCATTCTGCGTTTTACTGTCTGCTAGAGTCTTCATCATAAGTTCTTTTCAGTGTTTATCTTTTTTAAATAAATGTTGCTTCGGGTGTCTTCATTATTTCTCTTCCTTTTTCCCCTCGTTTTCCTCCTCCAGGAACCTTTATTGGACAGACTGGAATAGAGATAGCCCCAAAATCGAAACTTCCTACATGGACGGTACCAACCGGCGGATTCTTGTGCAGGATGACCTTGGCTTGCCCAATGGACTGACCTTCGATGCCTACTTATCTCAGCTCTGCTGGGTGGATGCAGGTGATGAATGTTCCAGGGCACTGCTGGGGTTGGAGCAATGCCTTAATTATTCCCAAACAATTTTTGTTACCCACTGTGAGCTAGCCCACCATATGCCAGGAACACCAAGAGTGTCTGTTTTGGAGAAGACAGCATGAGAAGATTGGTTCTCTTCTGTTTGTAAAAATAGCTGAATATCTTTGCTTTGAACTCTATTGCCTCTTTAATCTTGACACTGTCCAGGGTGACTTGTCAATCTTCTAAGTCAGCGCTCAGCAAACTACAGCCCATGGACCAAATCCAACCTGACACCTGTTTGGGGATAGCCCAGGAGCGATAAATGGTTTTGACCTTTTTTAATGATATATTTTAAAAGATTACATCAATCACTATGTAATAGCCCAGATTTTGCCTCTTGGCCCACAAAGAATTACCATTTGGCCCCTTAAGAAAAAGCCAATCCCTAGAACGTGCCGTCATTCTGGTTATTTCTTAGCAATTCATAGCTTACATTCCTTAGCTCCTGCTTGTTCCCAAGGGCTGAGGCAGGCCTTGGAGCCAGGAAAGTAATGTAATGCAGTCTTGATATGGGTCTCATTGGGAACATTGGGGGTGTCCATGGGGTAAGAGACATGGATAGGATGCTCAGTCAGGGAGGAAGTTCAGGGATGCCTCTGTTCTCTGCTGAGTTTTTGCTCCATTCCAGACACTGTGTCAGGTGTCTTGGAAATGCAGGGAATGCATCTCACACTTGGGGGGGAGTAGGGTGTACACAATTAAATGAAAACACAAGAGCCAGGTTAGTCACAATGCGGATGTTGGTGGGAGGCTGTGCACAGCTGTGCACCAGAGGTGCGGTTTAGCGGTTCTGGAGAGCTCTGATTTCAGGGAGAGGCTCTTGGGGGGACTTGAGCAAGAGCTGGAGCATGGTGTATTTCCTACTAAGTCCCCAGATGCTCCAGGAAGGGGGAAGATAAGGCGTGCGTCCTCTGCTCCAGCTCACCTCCTCCATCAGGCTAGGTGAGGTGCCTGCATGGAGCAGGCATTGGCTAAGGAGAGAACAAGAGGATCAAGAGATGACTTCCCAGTTTTTAAGAACGAGTCTCATGTGACCTCTAGAATTTGTTGTTGTGATGCTGAATTTCTCTCACCCTTGCCCTCGTTCCTCTTGTGTTTGGACACAAAGGGGCCATTACTTGTCTGAACAATGCGTGGCTTGTCTGTGTTCCACACAGGCACCAATCGGGTGGAATGCCTGAAGCCCGGTCAGTCCAGCAGACGCAGGGTTCTTGAAGGGCTCCAGTATCCTTTTGCCGTGACGAGCTATGGGAAGAATCTGTATTACACAGACTGGAAGACGTAAGTCGACTGACGGCTGGGGCACCAGAGACCCGCCTCTGCCCCCCTCTGTGTCTTGGAGGCCAAGCTCTTTCCCTTTGGCCTCTTGGCTTGACCTTCCAGCCTCCAGAGATGCTCTCTGCACCTCATCCTTCTGCTGGTCCAGAGCTAGGAAACAAGGGTGAAGAAGAGGGAGGGGCAAGCCTTTAAGGGGAGCTGGAAGTATCTTTTGTCATCTGAACCATCCTGAATGGGCAGCTTCAAGTCTGTGGCTCTGGATTTCTGAGCCTGTCTATTCTTTCCCCAGGAGTTGCTCCAGGGTCACTCGACTCGTGGGCTCCATGCCCCTACTTCATTATAGTTCTGCAACTTGCATATTACCACTGCCCCTTCTTAAACACCCTGTCCTGCAAGGAGGGGTTAAACCAAGCAAGCATGGGGGCGGGGGTGTTGGAACATCTGTAGAAAAAGCAGATTTCCCAGCTTGGAATTTAGAGCAGGAGAGGAGAGCTCCCTGGTCTTTGGTCTTTTCTAAAAAACCAGAGCAATGCAGGCTCCATCTGTCACAGGAGGCCTGGGGAGGCCTGGGGAGCAAGGCCAGTTTATTTGTTTACCCACAAAACTACAAAAGAAACTGCCCTGCAGACAAAAGCTCACCGCTCAGTTGTGTTTTAACCTTTTGCCCTCTAATGTTCCGTAGGAATTCTGTGATCGCTGTAGATCTTGCTATTTCCAAAGAGATGGATTCCTTCCACCCCCACAAGCAGACCCGGCTGTATGGTGTCACCACTGCCCTGTCCCAGTGTCCCCAAGGTAACTCACTGTGCTCGACTGTTCAGGGGCTGGTGGGGGTGGGTTGGGGACAGAGTGAGGCTCAGAGCCCACACTGTTCCTGCGACCTTATGGCCACAATAGTCCTGACAAGGTGTAGTACACGTCCTTCAAGGGCTTCATTATTTAGTGGGTGGGCAGATAAGTCAATAGAAAAACATTAAGGGAATGAAGTGGAAAGTGAACAAGGGTGAGAAAAAGTGTGGAATCTTGGCTGGTCTAGAGGAATTTCGGGGTTCCCAGTGGCAACATCTGTATTAGGATCTCTGCTACTTTATTTTTATTTATTTATTTTTAAAGATTTATTTTTTTTATTTATGCATACAAGAACTGGGGTGGTGGACAGAGATGTAGGGGGAGAGGAAATGAGAGGCAGGGTCCCTGCTGTCATTGTCCCCATTTTATAAATAAGGAAACTGAAGCCAGTTGCCTGAAGTCCCACAGTTCATAGAGGCACAGCTGGGAGTGAGTCTGAACTGCCTGGTTCCAGCATCTGTCCTATTCTGTCTCTCCAGCCCCCCGCCCCATGCCACCCCTCTTTCCTTCCTGGCTTTTCTCCAGTTAACTGTAGAGCTCAGTGGGCAAGGTAACTAGAGAGTAACTTGTACTTTAAAATTTCAACTCCATGTTGTAGTCAGAGCTGATAAATCTGCATAGCACCAAATCAGGACTTCTGATTTCTGCCCAGCTGGCAGAAGTCCTTACACATGAGCAGCCAGTAGACTGCCTGACACAGCCTCCAGGATGTCCACAAGCTCAGTGTCACAACAACCAGAAAGGGGGCCAATACGAGGGCCACTGTCTTTGATGGCTGTTAAGTCAGCTTGGAGAGCAGCCTGTTGAGCTGGCTTCTGCCTCTTCTAGGTCACAACTACTGCTCGGTGAACAATGGCGGCTGCACCCACCTCTGCTTGGCCACTCCAGGAAGCAGGACCTGTCGCTGCCCTGACAACACCCTGGGAGTTGACTGTATTGAGCGGCAGTGAAGACAAAAGTGCCTCTTTCCCTCTCCAAGTATTTCACAGCAACATCCTACTTGAAAGGGTCCAGACTGAAAGCTGTCTGACTTGGTGGCTGAGTGGCCACCAGGCCCAGGTCCAACTCAGCCTGCGCCCTGACAACATTCCCTCAGAGTTCCCCAAAACATACCCTGGGCTTCTGAAACAGAAAGTTTCGATCCCTAAGTCCGAGCCTTAGACAAGCTCTTCTACCCCCAGTGAAGCTGCCCTCTGCCAGTCACTACTCTGGAAACATTCCCTAACCTTAGCCCCCAGGGGTTAGCTGAGCCTCCCCAGGCCTGAGCATGCCCCTTCTCTGTGAGCTCAGCCTTACTCTGAGACACCCCTGCCCGGGGCCCGCACTGTCGGCTCCTCACACAACAGCCAGGGCCACTTCAGCAAGGCTGCAAGTGAAGGAGGGAGTTAGCCCTCCCATACTTTTTCTCTTGGTGCTCTCATTTCCCCTTTTATGCTCCCACCTTGTGACCCCCCGCGTTCTGTGCCACCTGCATCCTGCCCACATCAGAGTGAGCAGACCTGCCTTTAGATCGAAGCCCACCCTGTCTTAGGGAAAATGGGTATTTGGTGAATGACAATGAGCAGATAAATTATTGGCATTTCACCAGTAGCCTTTGATAATCAAAAGCTTAAGTCAAAGGAGTGTTCCTTGGTTGCAATTTCAATGTCTAGAGTCAAATGTTTGAGGATGGGGATTCTATGATGTGCCTTATATTACGCCAAAGATTACCAAATTATTCCTGTTTGCCCAAAGCACTTGGATCTCAGCATCTGGTCTCTTGGGCAGCACAGCCCCATGCTCGCACTGATGTCCACTCTCCTCGTGGGGACCCATTTGAGGCACAGCCTGGGGCTGGTACCCTTGATGACACCCTCTCAGCCCCCCCACCTCTGGTGTCCATTCATCAGAGCTAATCTACAGTCAACATGAGCTTGCCTCTCCTTGGTCTCTCCCTCTATTCATGGCCCTTGCTGACTGTGTTCTCATCCAAAGGCACAGTCCAGGAGGGCCAAATTGAATATCTATATTATGATCCAGGCCCTTTATTACTCACTGGTATAATGAAAGTGACCATTGCCAAAGTTCATCCATACGTTTCTGTGATTTGTTTAGAAAACATCTCTGGACCGTAGGAATAGCTAACATTTTTTTTTTATCAACTGATTCTCACAGTAGAAATGCTGGTTTGAAAGCTAAGCATAAGGAGTTTGAGTTGGTAAGGTAAGGAAGCAGAGAAGACTCCGTGAGAAATATCGCAAGGAGAATGCTCACCAGCAGGAATGGAAAACCCAAGAGGCATGGATGGAGGAGGGTATTTCACAATAGCGATAAGAAAAGCTTATCTCCAAAGAGATGCTTATGCTTGAGCACATGGAAGAATTAGTGAGATTTTTCTCCTTAGCAAAGAGATTCCTCCCCTTCAAACCCCAATAACAGCCCAGCACTCACCAGCTGCTGCCTTAGTCCTCATCTGATTCTGCGCACATTGGAACCTGAATTGGGAGAGAGACTTCCTTGAATAATTGTTTATTTTGAGAGGCAAATATATCCCTGAGAATCACAAGATTTGGGGAACATGTGAGTCTTTTATATAGTCCAACCCCATAAATTAGTTTCACTTTCTTTTTACAGTTATCATTTCATATCAAGCCCTCTATATCAAATGTTCATCATGATTTAGTATAATTTTATAACTATTTTATTCATTTTACTAGGTTCACTCTCAAGTTTTTTAAATGGTAAATTCTTAAACTGTGGAAACCACTAAAGGTGCTTGTTAACTGCTGCCCAGATGTAGACAAGTATTGGATGATTTCTTGAGTTTACAGCTGTATAAATATTAGTACAGAAAATAAAAAAAAAAACCTCATTTTGTTAAAAAAAGATCTTCCACTATCTTGTTTGAATGAAGAGCTGTACTGCTGGGAGGCTGATTCACAATGGAAAGTCAGCCATTTAATAATCTGCAAAACCTGTGGAACCCGAATATGGCCAACGGGTGGTCTGTTTCCCAAGCAAGTTCACGAAAGATTTGGAGATTATAGGTGACTTAAAAATTAATTCCATCATAGACCCCAAATTACTCTTTTGGATATTTTTTTTATTTTTTAGAAAAATGTGTCTGAGCCGCAGGCAGACCTGATGGAGGTCTGAAGATGAGGCGTGTTCCTGCCCCTAGTCATCTCCAAAGGGAACAAAGACACTTTGCACTAGCCATGAAGTGAGACCCCCACTCTGGTCTAAGCTGCCACCAATGGGCAGTGCTTCCCATACAGGCCCTTGGTGGGATGACAATGGGTTTCTGGCCTGTTTAGAATGAAGAGGGCTCAGAATGTTCTGGAATAAGGTGCCTAGAGCTGTTATTGTAGGGAAGATAATTGATGTGTGAAACAGCAACTGAATTGCAAAACAGTGCCAGCGGTGAAATTGTTACAGCCTGACCATGAGAATTTTTTGGGGGGTGGGGGAGCTGGGGTCTTGCCAAAGAAAGGGGACAACTTATGTTAGGGGTACAACTCCAAGTGTTTTATTCAGGTCATAAAGTTTAATTGCCTAGAGGTGATATCAGAGATGAAGGGGGAGCAGGGAGCTCCAGGAATCCATCTCTCCACCAAAACAATGACTGAAGTGGCAGGAGCTGTCTCAGTAAACCATTTTGGCACTTTCAGTCTAGTAAAACACTTGCGGCACCCTGGGCTTTATGAAGTGACTGGCTAATTTTGGTTAATTTTAACTTTCTCCTAGCAGTGGCTTCAACTCCCCACCCACTTCCAACCCAGGGTGGTCAACTGTGGGGACAGCAGCCCACTCTCCAGATGGGTGGGTAAGAAGGATCTTATTCTCCGGAGAGTGGGGTTGTGGGTTCTGATTGTTGATGTCAGCTTTTGTTCATTGAGGAAACAGAACAGAGGTGAAAATCTTCATGACACTGGATTCAGTAATGGTTTCATCGGTATGACACCCAAAGCTCAAGCAACAAAAAGAAAAATGGATGAATTGGTCTTCATCAAAATTAAAAACTTTGGTGCATCCAAGCATACCTTCAAGAGAGTAAAAAGTCAGCCAACCCATTTAAGGGGAGAAAATGTTTCAAAGACAAAGCAAATGTAAGAGTGAACATGGTCTTTCAGCAGATACTGGAATGAGATTTGGAGACCATTGGCTCAGGTTTGACACTTGGCTCCCGGCCCCAACCGCACAGAACTCTTACTGCCCAGCTGTGACTTTGAAGTCCAGCGCTGGCTGCTTCCCTTACTCCTGCTCCCTCATCTCCTCCTCCATCTTCCTCCTCTTCTCCTTCCTCTTCATTTTACAAGGACAGGTTTATTAGAAAAAGGAGAAAGAAAAAAGAGAGATACCTGCATTGACACAGATGGGCATTCTTAGAAGAGCGGTTACCCCCTCTTCCTGAGCCCAGATGTGGGGCACTGCTTAAAGCTGCAGTGCAAAGGATCAGAGTCCCTAACTACAGGGAAGGGCCTCGACAAGGATAAACAGCACATAATTAAAAGATGGAAAGGCTGGAAAAAAGGTGCTTTGAATGACATCCTTCTTGCTTTTGAACCATGCAGCTGGGGATAAATAGCCCAGATTACAGCCTGAGAGCACTCCAGCTCCTGGGCTTCAAGGTTTTACTCTGTGGCAGTTGTTCCCAAAGGCAGTTCCATAGGAGACCACTAGAGGGCAGGAAAAACCCATTAATGCCTCTTGGGGTTGGTGGGCAGGAGTTGGAGGCTACCCAGGCCTGGAGTGTTCAGACTTTGCTATCATCCCGCTCAAGAATTTTCTTAACGGGCCTCCCCGGTGGCGCAGCGGTTGAGCACTGGGTTGCGAAGCTGCCCGCGGCCTCTGCGGTGCTGGTTCGATCCCCGGCTGCTCCCCGGCCACCGGAGGAGGGTCCCACATGGCGCGCAGACCTCTCCTGCCGCCCGCTGCTCCCCTCAGCAGTGTACTTCGGTCCTTCTGCCTGCTCTGCTCCCCGCTCTGGCTCTGGTGAATTCTCTCACCCTCCCGTGCTTCTGACTGTACCCAGTGCATGTATAAACAAACAAATAAATGAATAAAATACATGCCTCTAAAAAAAAAAAAAAGAATTTTCTTAACAAGTTGGTGAACTGTGTAACCTGGTACTAAAGGGAGTCTAAATGGAGGAAAACGGAAGTTGTAGGAAATTGAGGAATAGAAATTGAAAAAAAAATAACAGGTTAACTAAAAAGAGATGTAGAACAACAAGGGCTTCATAATTATTACAAATAAAATATCCCACCCAACACTTAGTAAACTGACTCTTTGGGGGCACCTAGTGCCTGTTAAAGGATCGTTCTTCTTATGCTATGTCATGACATACCTATTATTCTAAATCATAAAATGAATAAAAATAAAAATGATTTTGAAACTTAATAAATAAAGAAATGTTACAGTTTCCCAAATGTGTTAAAGCCTCTTAATTTTAATGCAGATTTCCCCCAACTAACAGCACTTTTCCTCCCAAAGTCGTTTTACTTGATAAACATTTGCAGACACCTGTGGCCCTCCAGCCTGAGCGCTGCGTGCACGCTGTCAGTGCAGAAGTGTGTTCATTTCATCAGGGCCAGATTCTGAGTGTATCTAGGAGGAGAATGATAGACAATGCTGGAAAATGCAGGCTTTGTCACAAAATATGGCCCTCACCCAACAAATGTGTGTCCAGTTGCTTAGCAGATAATAATGCAACATTCTGCTTAATCATTGTTCAAACATTAAGAACTTTAACAGAGAAGGGAGAGCACTCTGTGGGGATGATGGAGTAAGAAGCTTTCCTTCATTGACTGATAATGGGAAAATAGTATTCCCTCCTGGGAAATCTTAGAAGTAGATTTTTTTAAAGATTTATTTTATTTATACAAGAGCCGGGATACAGTCCAGATGCACGGGAGGGTGAGAGGATTCACCAGAGACACAGTGGGGAACAGAACAGGCAGACTGACGAAATATACCGCTGAGGGGAGCAGTGGGCGAGACAGGTCTGCTGCGCCATGTGGGTTGCTCCAAGGCCGGCGGGGATCAAACGGGCACTGCAGAGGCTACAGACAGCTTCACAGCGCTGCGCTCAACCGCCTGCACCACCAGGGAGGCCCCTTGGAAGTAGATTTTCACACCCATTAGGAAGCTGAGGCCCACGTGAAGTAACCTGGTAAAAGTCTGACAGTGAGATCAGCAGGGTCCAACTCCAGGTCTGGTTTGCTCCGGAGACCCTGCTCAGTACCTCCTCCCACCCAACTTTTGATGAGATATTTTATAATGTTTTTTGTGTTGAGAATTGCATAATTTTTTTAATTAATTAACATTGTAGAAGTTTATTTTTACTTTATTATTTCCTTGTGTTTAACACATTTACATTTAGAAAACTGGAAGGCAACATGGCGGCGAGGAGACGCTGCGAGTAAGATCTCCCATTAAAAAAAGTTAATAGGGAGGAAAAGCGGCAGGTCCCAGTGAGAAGTGGGACACGGAAGATAAACGGACGACTCCAGCAAACTGCCCGAAGAAGAAAGTTGCCATAAAAGAGGACCAGAAGGGAGGAAAGCGCAGAACCCTGCTCCCCTCCCCCGCCCACAGAGGCGGCACTCTCCGACCGGCAGAGAGGAGGAAAACAACACACTAAAACGGCCAACAAGAACAAACGACGCAGCAAGCGGGACTGGGAGTGGAAAGGAACTATTGCAGCCACCACACCCTGTGAACGGGAGCTGTGGAGAACCCCGCAGGATCCGCCGCGGAGGTGAGCTCCGGGCGCCATTGAAGAGAGCCCCGCCCAGGAGGAGACCAGCACCAGCACACAGCCCCGGCCGCCCGGTAAGCCTGCGCGGAAAGCGGTGCGCTGGAAAAACAGACGCGGAGCGGGATTGCGCGGGGAAAGCGGCGCGGATTGCGCGGATCGGATCGCAGCTGCCCAGGTCCCCGCGCCTGCGACCTAGGCTTGCGGGGAGACGACCTAGGCTTGCGGGGAGACGCGCGGAGGCCCTCCCGGAGTGAGCAGGAACCAGGCGCCCAGGCAGGGGAGCGGGATTCAAAAGGCGCCATTCCCGCGCCACTGATCTGGGCTACAGCCCACGTCCTGGACCTGAGGGCTTTGGAACTGAGACCCGGGGCACGAAATTAGGGGCGTGGGTTCCCCACAACGGTGGGGCACAAGGCAGACACAGCACCCCAAAGCCGTTGAGGTGTACCCTACCATCCCTGCTCTGCTCCCTGTCCCACTGGGTGGAAAATCAGCTCCCCAAGGGCTCTAGGAGAGATCTCTGGCGCCACCTAGCGACTTGAAGCCAGCACAGGCTCCTGAAGGAGCTAGTGGCCAGCTGGGGAGTTAGCCCACGCCGGGCCCCTTCCGAACAAGTAGTCTGAGCCCACAGGGAGAGCGAGCACCCACAGCCGGGCAGACCAAGTGCGCAGAAGAGTGTGCCTGAGACCGGATGCGCAGGGAGTGTGTCCCACATCACCATTATAGAATAGGGACATTTCTTCAGTAAAGACTACCTGCAGAAGGCTTCCTCAGGAGCCAGAGGTGAGCGGGGGAAGTTCGCCCACGCCAGACCCCCTCTGGCCTGCAGTCCAAGCCCAGAGGGGGAGCAGGAACCCACCGCCGGGGCAGACCAGGCGCACAGGGGAGTGTGTCCCCACATCGGCATTTTAGAACAGGGACCTTTCTCCAGTAAAGACTGCTTGAAACTGACAGATGACTCCTGGAGGAACCAGAGGGGAGCAGAGAAGCCCACCCAAGATGCCGGCCAGTCCCAACTACACAGTGTCCCAACGCATACGGCAAATTAGAAAACAGACAGTAGGGAGAAGAACCACACGCAACCTAGCAACTCTCCAGAGAAAAAGCACACCACAAAAAGAAAACCAGCCCCCAGATGGCAACGACAGTAACTTGGAAGAACTTCTGAGCCTTCCAGAAAGAGAATTTAAAATTGCCGTGATTAAAAAACTGACAGAAGTCATAAAGGAAAACAATGATAAGGGAAAAATAATCAACAATCAGAAGAATGAAATTGAGTCCCTGAAGAGGGAAGTAAAAGAAATGCAGGAGATCAAAGAATTAATGGAAGAACTAAAGAATTCTGGGAAAAGCAATGAAAGCAGAATTGATGAAATGGAAGAACGAATAAGTACTCTTGAAGACACAGAAATAAAAAGAACCAAAACAGAAAAGGAAAGAGAAGTACGAAGGAAAAAGAATGAAGAAAGACTTCGGGAACTATCTGACTCCATGAGGAAAGGAAATATAAGAGTTATAGGAATACCAGAAGGAGAGGAGAGAGAAGTAGGAACAGAGAAAATATTCAAAGAGATAATTGAAGAGAACTTCCCAAATGTGAAGGAGGAGCTGAAAATTGATATACAAGAAGCAAGAAGAACACCAAACTTCCATGACGAAAGGAAAAATACAGCAAGACACATAATAGTAAAGCTCCCAAGAATCCAGGACAAGGAAAAAATAATGAAGCTGGCAAGAGGGAAGAAACAGATAACATTCAAAGGAAAGCCAATCAGGCTGACATCAGACTTCTCCGAAGAAACACTACGGGCAAGGAGAGAGTGGAGGGACATAGTCAACAGACTCCAAGAAAACAGATGCCAACCAAGAATACTCTATCCCGCAAAGCTCTCCTTCCTCTTTGAAGAAAGAATATGGACTTTCCCAGACAAACAGAAACTCCGGAATTTCATTGCAACTAAACCCCCACTCCAAAAAATACTACAAGGAGTCCTAAAGCCAGAACCTCAGAGGGACGAATAACAATGAAAGAAGGCCAAAAAAAAAAAAAAAGTTATTAAAAGAATAAATAAATAAAATCTAAGGAAAGACAAACACAATGGCAAATACAGATGTTAACATATCAATATTAACTCTAAATGTAAATGGACTAAACTCTTCAATAAAAAGACACAGAGTTGCAGCCTGGATTAAGAAACAAAACCCAACCTTTTGCTGTCTCCAGGAAACACATTTAGCTACAAAAGATAAAAATAGGCTCAAAGTTAAAGGATGGAAAACAATCCTACAAGCAAATGGACCAAAAAAGAAAGCAGGAACAGCTATACTTATATCAGATAAAACAGATTTCAAACTCAAAAAGATAAAAAGAGACCCCAATGGTCACTACATTATGATCAAGGGGACAATACTTCAAGAAGAAATAACACTCATTAACATATACTCACCAAACGAAGGAGCACCAAAATATATTAGACAACTGTTGTCCTCTCTGAAAACAGACATCAGAGAAAACACATACGTAGTGGGAGACTTCAACACACCACTATCAACAATGGATAGATCAACAAGACAAAAAATAAGTAAAGAAACCAAAGCTCTAAGGACCTAGAGCAATTGGGTTTAACAGACATCTATAGAACACTAAACCCCCAAAAAAACGGAGTACACATTTTTCTCAAGCGCACACGGATCATTCTCCAGGATCGATCACATACTGGGGCACAAGACAAACATCAACAGATACACCAAGATTGAAATCATATCAACCATCTTTTCTGACCATGAAGGCATCAAACTAGAAATAATCCATAAAAAGAAGGCAAGGAACTTTCCTACCTCATGGAGATTAAAAACCACACTACTGGAAGACCACTGGACTAATGAGGAGATGAAAGAAGAAATTAAAAAATTTTTTGAATTGAACGACAAGGAGGACACCAATATCCTAAATGTATGGGATGCAGCAAAAGCAGTAATAAGAGGAAAATATATAGCAATAGAAGCTCACATCAAGAAACAAGAAAGAACTCAAAGAAACAACCTAATCTCGAAGCTCAAAGATCTAGAAAAAGAACAACAAAAAAACCCCAAAACAGTAGAAG